AAAGATAACACACAGTCGCCTTCGTCGATTTCGTGTCATTTTTTATCACCTGCTCGTTAGTTTTTTGATCGATAATCGAGGCTCTACAACTTTAAAGGAAATTTAAGGATTCTCTTCGATCAGTGAGAAATCCGAAAGTTACTTTCTGCTGAGATTTCTTTCTTCGTGGTTGTTGAGAATTGTGGATCTTAATTACCGAAATAGAAGTAAAGGAATATTAAGATTACACTTAGAATTCATATTAAAATAGTTTTAGATTTATTTGATAAACGGTTTCCAGGATCTTCGTCGATAGACATTTACACTCTCTTCATCTCACCATCTTCCATACTACACTGACAATGGAACAGTTGCATTCATCTGTTTTTCGAGATGCTGTGCACACACATACTTCCACACACTCATATTCACATACGTGTGTCGCTACCACGCGGCCAATCTAGTCTAGCACATAAAATTTATACATATCTCGATAGTGGTAACAGAAGTCTTATGCGGTATAATATATCTTGAAAAGATGAAATAAAACCACTTGAATGTAATCGATTTATTTCTATTTGAGACATTATTTTTACTGGCCCGTCTTTTAATCGAAATAAATCACTCGATTATCGAGGATATGTGTTACGTTGCAGGTATTATTTTCATGAAATTTTCACCAGTTAAATATTCCAGAGTACTGAAAATACAGTTCTGTATTCGCGCAATATTCTGCATATTGGATAAAGCAAAGTCGTCCGTCAAAGCTTTGTCAGTCAAATTCCTCCGGTTCTTGCGAATATCCATTTTGCCACGTGTAGTCACAGTGAAAAAGGGATATTTTTTCTCGTGACGAACAAACCTGTCTATTTTTATTCCGAGTATTAAGCAATCTAGCTAACTATGCTCCACGTCTGTTTTATCATTTGCTCTATAAATGGAACGATTAAGTGCTCCAAGTTGTTTAATTTTCAGTATATTCGTTCCCAAAGTTGGCAATTAATTATTAGCCATGATTTAATTAAATAAATTACTTCCACTTATTGGAAATGTTATTATCTACTAAGCAATAATCGGAGTTGACAAAAGTTCAGAAAACGTATATCAAGCGAATAACTCGGATCGATAAAGTAATTTTGGACGAAGAATAGATACATTTCGTTGTATTAAAAAAAAACTGTTATGCAACTGGATTCTCATTTTTGGAAAATTCTGTCATGCCTTTTGTTAAACACGCTGTATCCTTCGTGATTTCCGATTGTCTGCTTAACTGAGGCAAATAATTTTAACGTTACTCTAATGACAGATATTCATTAAACAACTTGGGTTATTTATTAAAATATGTGTCAAACTGGTGGTGTGTCAAACTTTTTGAAATTTCTTATTGGCGTTTAACGAGCAATGCGACGAGCAACGTGCAAATGAGAAAAAACGACTGCTATTAATAAAATTCTGATACACAAAAGATGTAACTATACGATATAAGTAAAGTTTACAAGCTTTGTCCTTCGTTTTTATTAAATTTCATGCATTTAAAAAACTGCAAAAAATTGAAGTTACGCGTTTTTAAACAAAGGTGCAAGTTTGAAGGATTTTCATCCCTATAATGTTATATCTGGACATATTAAAAATACGTGGAACCTCGATGTGAAAAAGTTTCGGATATTCTTTCGAAATCCCTTTCTGATGCAGAGAGATTAAAACGTGGAAAATATTACAATTGATACGGAGCAAACAACAAAAGTTAAACAATGATTTTAACGGAACTCAGAGGTAACGCGATGACGAGATAAAAAGGGAAAATATCGTCATTTAAAATATCATAGAATTATTTCCATTTGATTCCACGTTTCTCGATTTACCAAACATTTGTTCTGCACGTTTATCGAAATTTAAAGTAGATCTTGGTTTAATTTAATCGTTGTTGCTTCCAATTAACTATTAGAAATAAACAAAGTCGTTATTTGTCAAGAGATAATAAATTCGCCAAAGTGAGATTCACGAAAATGGTTTCAATAAAAAGATATATATTTGAACATTTGTAACAGAAAAATTTACATATCGAGATATTACGTGAAAAGATGAACATTTCGAGTAAGAAAAAGATATTTTAATTATCCATCGTCATATTTATTTCAATATCGAGCTTATAACATCACATCGTCTTTCCTCGCAAACATCGCTTTGCACACGATAAAACTTTTATCGCGCCAACTTCCATCGCCTTTTATTCGAACATAAAATATTTCGGTATCCGAACATGCGACTTTATTAAAACGCTATTTTTCCTTATGTCGCGTCTCTCTTTAACTTCACCCGTTCCACTTCGTTGTAACGTCACGCAGAAGTCTTCCTGAAACAAATAAATTTCATTAGCTACCACATAATCAACCGATTTTCTCTCGTTCAAACTAAAAATACAGCTACTTTTACTTTAAAAAAAAAAACCACATAAATTTCACGTTTCCATTCGTATTCGAAGCATTTACCATTTTCATTACCAACAAATTTTAATTCCTGGAATATCATCGACATTTCTTAGAGATATAACACAATGCACTTTATCCTATAAAGCCTTCTCAGCTCGAATAACACGAACCGTACTATGTACATGCAGTATATCCTCTCATCGTGAGCAAGCTGACTTAAGTGAGAACATCTGAAAGCCCCACTCTCCATTCGCATGAAAAGCAGCAATCTTCTTTCGACCCTCCGAACCGTCGTGTTATTTCAGATCTGATTCTACTCTACTAGTTTCTTTCTCAACAAAGGACTCGTGGGTAATCTCGTTTGCCGGCTGTTCCGATCGAATTCAATCATGCTAATCGTGACAGGGGAAACACAGCTCAGGACACAGTCTCTATCCACGAATCTGTGAAACTGTTTGATGTAACAACTTCTGAGAAAACAATTCGCACGGAACGGAGTTAACGAGAACCTATTCTTGGTTGGCAAACGTTGTTTTAGCGGTACAATCAATGCTGAATCGTAGCTGCTACCTGTACGCGTATACCGTTTCAGTTGTTAACCGCAATTTGTCGCAGTCTCGCCGTTTCTCGGAAAACGGTCACCGGGTATTGTCGTTGATTATGCGAGTATTCGGTTTACGATCGAATCGAAGCCTACGAACGATCGCGTACGATATTTTGGGAAAAGGTATTTCCTATTCTTGTACCTTTTTATTCGTATTCTTTCTTTGTAATTTTATTTAGTTTGCCGGAAAAGTGTCTCTCTTTTACAGACACGTCTTTTGCAACGACGCATCTTTATACAAATATGAAAGCTAATCCGTCGAACGTTGTGATCTTTAAAACGGTCTTGATAAAACAAAATGATAAAATAATGTAAAATGTTGCGCATCCATTATTTCCTTACTGATATTTACGTTTCTTTATATAAGATTTACTTTTGTTGTATTTAGGAGACAAACTATGCAGCGTTTGTCACATACTTCGGAGAAATCGTAGAATTTTTATTTCAATTTATTACTTTCTACGAAATGTCTCGAACTAGTTGAAAACTCGTGGAATATTCGTTTAACTTCGATTTGCTTCGAACTCTTTATCCAAATTTGTAATATTATGGAATTTTATCGGTACATTTCGCTGATTCTTTGAGAGGAAATTTATATGATAGTACGAAGGAGGCTGACATAATCGTTACTTTTGCCATGTGAAATATTTTTACGAAATTTTACGAATATTTTGTAATGCGTTTGCATGGAAATTTATAAACAGTACGAAACACAACTGGCTAGTGCAGTTGCTACTATAAAGGGATAAAGCATTCTTATAAAATCTCGCGAAATTGTTCTGGTATTTTTTATGTTATCTGTTTAAATAGAAAATCGTAGGTACGTCGACAGAGCAGCCTACAACCTACTACTTTTGTTACTTGGGGTATTTTTGAGAAATTTTATTAAATTTTACCTATCCCGTAATTCGTTTGATGAAAGATTTTTCATACCGTCGATGGAATCTGAAAATTCTAATTTCGTCAGACGAGATAGTTTCGAAAAATTCCATAGAATATTTACTGATACTGATACATTCTGCGATTCGTTCGAATAAAAAGTTTGTAATACGAACGAAACAGCAAGTGCTAGTCTTGTCACGTAAAATAGCTTTCAAATGTTTCGTAGAATTTTATTAATTTCGGTATGTCCTGCAATTCCTTCGAATATTTATAGATATCTAAATATAACTATATATTTGGTATTTCATCTTTATATAAACAAAAAGGAAGTGAAAAGGTTGACCGTGAAACTTGCAAAAAAAAAAAAAAGCTCAGTAATCGTTTCGTTCGTATGCAGAAGCGTCCGTTTGCTGCATCAAAATGATAAACAGAGGAAAACATTTCCTGTTCTATTGACAAAAGTTCGAAGACGTGCTCCGACAACCGCCCACGCAAACAGGTCGAGAGAATCTCATTGCAACTATTCTCACGTTTCGATCGAATTCATTGTTTGACGAAACAAAACACGCGGATAGTGAACCATCCTCTGCCATTAATTCACTTTGCCTTTGCAATCGGTTCTTCGATATTAGTTTGGCTGGCAATTTTCAGCGCAGCGCAATGTGTACCTGTATCCGAATTGCCTCTAATGATCGTCCTCGACGTTCAAACTGTAGTGTGCGACGTGTATTATAGCTAAGCTGTTCTATGTTCAATTCAGTGTAATTCGTATTTACAGTAACTGAAACAAATAGATTCGTTTAACTACGGTGAGGAAAAACAATACCTGGATAGGTAAATGGCGGTAAAGGCAATGAAATATTACTGTTTAGAGAAGTACCGTCCTGATTCTCTATTTTTAGTCGTTTAAATTAGACTTAAGACGTTTTCACTTGTTCGTTATTTCTTAGTATCGACCCTCGTCGATTATATCTTTCTTATAATCCGTCGTTTCCTCGTCCGTTCCAAATCAAATTGCGACGGATCGAAGAATGTATAGAGAGTTTGCCGAAGGGTCCTCGAAAGAGAAGCACATCAATTAAGAGGATTGTTTCGTTTGGTTGCAGCCGATGCTCGCTGAAACGAAACGCGGTGGCGCCAGCGGGGCCGATGAGGGAGAAGAAGATGGAGTGGAATATTACAGGCTCAGGTCGTTTTCCATAACAGCGAATGGGGTCTATAACCTCGGCGATTCGCTGAAGAGCCGACGTAGCAAGAGTATCAACAGCGTCACATCCTCTGGCACTAGCTGCAGCAGCACCAGGGAGGCCAGGTTATTGAGGTGAGAATAAATCAGTGTATAAAGCACATGTCGCGCATATCCATTATACATGGAACGTTGTTCGACTATAACAGCGACTATAACAAACGGTTAAAACGCGTGACAAAGGCTAGACACACATTAGGTATAGAATGTCGAGACTTTTGTTGAAACAAAGGAAACCTATACGTAACACTTACCACTATGTAAAGCTGTTGGAACATTGCACAGGGCTAAGGACAATGTTCCCCCATCTTTTGTACGTCGTCACGCGATGCTATATTTAGTGGGAAAACGTTACGTGTATATTCTTCGAACACTTACTATGGGAAAATGTTGTGCCTATATTGTTTGAACACCTGTCGTGGAAAAGCGCTAGGTGTATATTCTTTGAACACATATTATGGAAAAATGTTACGTGTACATTTACTATGGGAAAACGTTACGTGTATATTCTTTGAACACGTATCATGGAAAAATGTTACGCGTGTATTTTTCGAATATTTACTATGGGAAAATGTTATGTATATATTCCTTGAACACCTGTCGTGGAAAAGCGTCATGTGTATATCCTTTGAACACGTATCATGGAAAAATTTTACGTGTGTATTCTTCGAACATTTACTATGGGAAAATGTTATGTATATATATTCCTTGAACACCTGTCGTGGAAAAGCGTCATGTGTATATCCTTTGAACACGTATCATGGAAAAATTTTACGTGTGTATTCTTCGAACATTTACTATGGGAAAATGTTATGCGTGTATTCTTTGAACACTTGTCATGGAAAAATGTCGTGTGTATATCCTTTGAACACGTATCATGGAAAAATGTTACGTGTGTATTCTTTGAACATTTACTATGGGAAAATGTTATGCGTATATTCCTTGAACACCTGTCGTGGAAAAGCGTCATGTGTATATCCTTTGAACACGTATCATGGAAAAATGTTACGCGTGTATTCTTTGAACGCTGATCAGGGAAAAACTTTATGTGTATATTTCTATTACGCCTAATTACGTATTACGTAAAAATATTTTAATTTTATTGGTTGGCTGTCACGATTATATTGGCAAAACTTAAAACCAATCTGAAAAAATACACAGATACGAAATACAAGATATAGAAGATATCTATATAGAATTTCACATTAGTTTCAAGTTTTATCGATATAATCGCGACAGCCGACTAATGAAATTTCAAAATATTTTCGTAGAATACGCAATTATACGCAGAGTATAAATATACACGTAACATTTTTCATTAATACACAGGATATCTATCCTGCCGACAAATACACGAGCTTATTTTTATAATTGTATCAAGTCTGTCAAAAGTACTTAGTCTTCCCCTGCTCTTGTCCCGTTTCAATATTATTCCTCCGCCAATCTGTCAGATTTACACGCTAGACATTTACACGTGGCATAGCACAGACCATGTTATACGTCAGATGAATTTGACTTGTAGATGAATCTTGAACTACGGTTTGTACTGTACGTGGATCATCCGTCACGCATGTGTATGTATGCAGCCGCGTTTACGCTAAAAACTACCATCCCCTTGAAACTATTATATCTACTTATCGATATTACGACACGAAGTACCATTTGTTACGAATAGCAGCAACAGCAAGTAGGTCGATCTACGTGAAAACCTGCTAATACGATAACATACATCATGTCCAAAATAGCATAATATCCTGCCCTAATGTGCATACTATCTCAAGTTAAACGACACGCTATATCGCGTACTGCTTCCTCGGATTTATCTTTCCTCGAAGATGCCCTTGAATAATAGCGACCAGCGTAGGTAAAGGCATAAAAGACGCAATAAAAAATCAGGGCAGATTTCCTCTTACAGAACGTCCACGTAAATGCTGTTCTCTGTATCGTACGCGGTTCTTTGTTCAAGAAAGCTAACTCGTAAATTCCAAGTCCTTGTCCCCTCCTACTATTACACACACATCGGGCTTACGATACGTCGATTGCCATTGGGAAACCATCGTTGTTATAAAACTTTCGCAAGAAAGTCGATTGATAAGTCCTGGGCATGCGCCATTTCTTAAGAAAATACGTAATCCTTAAAGCGCAGCTGACTTTCCTCTCGCTTCGATATTTTCTCTCGACCGCACAATATTTTCGATAGTTGTACGGAATACAGTACGCCTGACCGATTTCAACCAGCTTCGAATATATCGCCTAGATCGATCTTCTGAGAACAAACATTTTCCTGTACGCGTAACCACCGCGCAATCTTCCTTTCCTAGATATTCGCAAAAACTTTAATTAAATTCAGTTTTCATTTACAATCCATTCTGGCATACACGTGGGTAACCGGATTTTTATTACCCGAATCCAACTAGCCAGAAACCAACTAAAGTCACTCAAATTTTAATCAGTCCGCGTTGACCACCTTCGACGCTAACGCGACCCAATTTTTATTTCACGCGATCTTTTAAGCGTATCGTAAATTCCATTAGTACCGATTATTGTTATTTACACATGTATCATCGTGTATTGTTGTCAAACGTGTTTCTATCCGTAGCTGACAACGTAAACCCGTGCGTGGTTATCGTCAGATTACGTGCGACGAACGTGTATACGTATCTGATGACTCTAACTATTAGTACACGCTACGTACGCGACGAACAAACAGATAAGACACGGCGCAAACATCTCGCACATGGGTAGATTCATTGTAAATTATTTCACGTTGCTACTCACTGCTCTAACCCAACCCATAACCCACTCGTCCTCTTTCTTCTCCTTTTTTTCCTCGTTTGAACAACGTTAAGAACGGCTATCTCTTTCATCGACAAGTTACATCGACAGGTTGAGCTATATAAAAAATACAAACATAAAATGTAAGATAAATTGTATCGCAGTTTTGCGATTCGACAGTCAGCGAATACAAGTTGTTCGGAAGATAAATGTTAATAAGATATTTCAAGACCGTCGAAACGGGCACCACTTGCCTGTCTAATTAGCACATTTTCTCCAAAACTTCGGTAATATCGTTACAAGCACCGAGGTAATTTCTCCTTTAATTCTACCATTTGCATACAATGACGGCAAATCGCGCGCGTCCGAAAGTGCTACGAACAGCTTTTCATTTCGCCAGGGTCGATTCGTAAGAATGGACTAACTGAACTTTCCAGCGCCAGCGTTGCAGTCGCGAGATATTTCGGCCTCGATCCTCCACGTCTGCCACTCGTCTTCCTCTCGTCGAGCAATTAACAACCGCGTAATTACCGTCGAGCAATTACAGCCGACGCGCGGTTTCGGTTGGACGAGCGAAGGCCGAAAGATTGTCCGCGGTTACGGCTCTACTTGAACGAATTAAAGGCCCTTTCTCGCGCTCCTCTGCCTCTCGCGCTCCTCTGTCTCTCGCGTTCGTCTCGTATAATTCCGGTGCGCTGGTATCTGCCTGTTCGTCGAGTCCCAAAAGGTTATCCCGTGCCGCGAGACGGTCGCACGGCCGATGAAACAAGACGCAATCTCGGCGAGTGCTCTTCCGCGAGAAAAAATACCGAGAATTATGAGCAACGCCGGTCGACCACCGCTCGAACGCAACGAGGTGTAAACGGGTGTACGCGTTGCCGATGGGACAGGATGCAACGTGAGGCGATCCCTGATGAGAAACTAAGAATAAAGTACATGGAACGGAATATTTTCGTCTTCGGCTTTCGCGAAAATTGACTTTGGATAATTCGTTCGATATGTTGGGTTGGCAATTAAGTGATTGCGGATTTTGTCAGTACCAGCTAATGAGAAAATCCGCAATCACTTAGTTGCCAACCCGATATTCGACGCAGCTGCCGAGCAGGCGCGACTAAACGATTAGAAGAAGATTGTGGTACGTGCGAGAAGCGTGGAATACGATTCTTTCGTTTAACGCTTGGTTTTCAAGAAAACACGAGCGCGCAAAATTTCCAAATTCATCCTTTTCTCGGAAACAGGGCGTCTTAGGGACAACAAATTTTGTTTTCCACGCGTAGAACAATATTCTAGCAATATACTGCTAACTTATTTTCGTCCAGTTAGTCGGCAATTAGCCGCGTCCGAATACCTTTTTTATGCCTCGGACGAAAGAATTTTACTCGACGTTTTCTTCTTGTTTGTTCGCAAAGGATCGGCCCATAGCCGCGTGCACGTTGAACCACGCCCTGTATATTTTCAGGTAGTTTTCAACTTTCATATTTCGCTGATACTTCAGAAACAAACAAGTTGTTACAAAAAAAAAGTGCAAACAAATTTAGTTTCGCGTTTCCCCTTCCGTGGTACGTAGCCTGCAATTTCTCTGTAAAATATGTTCTTCCTGGAACGTGATATTCGAAAAATTGTTCGAACCACTCGCGTTCCGCTTACGTACGCGACACGAGTAAACTGCTTCTAATACGATTAGAAGATAGCGAATCGGCAGAACAGTCGGAAATGGCGGCGTCGTTGCAGCGGGTATTAGCTTCTAAAAAGAAATAGAAGAATGTGCAGGAAATGAGGATGGGAGAGGTATGGGGCGAGTGACAGAAAATCGAAGGAAGACACGCCGGGAATTGTGCAAGCTGACAGGAAAACCTCGTATTTGTCAGAAATAGGGCTGGCTTTTTCCCTTTGCCGCGCGAGGCGCGCTTCCTGTTGGCAATGCGTTCTCTCGAAACCGGAAAATTACGGCGAATCTGCCGTTGATGTTGGGTCGAATAAAAAAGAACGCAGACTCGACCAAATTTCGACAAATTTCCATTCAAACGCAAATGTTTCGAACGTTTAAACGATTTTGCCTCTAAAACCCGTATATCCCGTGCCTGTAAATATACGCTACGCCGCTTTAATTATTTCAAATCTCTTCTTTTTTCTTTTTTTTTTTTTTTTTTTTTTTTTTACAAACGCAAATGTTTCGAACGTTTAAACGATTTTGCCTCTAAAACCCGTATATCCCGTGCCTGTAAATATACGCTACGCCGCTTTAATTATTTCAAATCTCTTCTTTTTTCTTTTTTTTTTTTTTTTTTTTGTTCCTACGGCGTGCATCTCCGCTTGGCAAATAATTATTTTCGGGATATTCGCGAAAGCGTGTGTCTAATATCGTTAATGGGTTAAAAATATTCTCGAGTTTCTAGAAATAACGAAAAACGATCGATTTACGGAATGTCGAAACCTTATCGAACGAAGATAACTCGCGAGACTGTTTCGAACGCGATTTTGTTCACCAATTTCACAAAGATCCGAAGAAAGATGTAATTTGTAACGTACATATGAAAAATCAGGAGAGAAGAGAAGAAGTGCGATGCGTTGTTGGTGTATCGCAGAGACTTAAACTGACGTCATGTTATATTCACGAAGGTCGTTTCAGTTTCATAAAAATGAAAGATAAAACGGTAGAATGATAATACCTGCGGAAATAGAACAGACTGCGATAAAGCGACCTGAGGCTACTAGCTTTTGCTTTTATACCTCGTTACGACTGCACATGTGTACGTTTATATTCGTTTACTTATGTAATTAAGCGCGTAATTCTTCGGCGAGTTCTTTCTTCTTTCCTTTAATAGCTTGGAAAATCTATTAAAATCGTCGGACGTGAGATTCTTCGTAAGAGATCGTAGCGAGTGAAAGGCGATTTGTTTTAAGCGCACCGTCTGATTAAGCGTATTCTCGTTCCACTGAATTCTTTGCTCGACGTTCCTCTTCAGAATCACGTGTACCGCGATAGAATTTACCGGTGAATTGGTCGATTTAACGCAAAAAGATCGCGTCGTCGACGTGGGCTGACAACGCGTCGAATCTTCGGTTTATTTTTCCATAGAACACAAGGTACACCGTGTATCATATGCTGTACGAATACTGGAAAATTCGAAAATAGAACGCAAGCGAAATCGATCGCACGAAACTATCTCGACAGTGACGGTAGAACACGATACAGTCTCTGCTTGTTTCCAAAATTTGCGCAACAAATCTTAAAATCCTTGAAGACTCGCACCAAACAAATAATAATCTGCCAACGTAACCAAAATCCGTGCTTCCTGTTCGGTGAACTTCCTTCTATTCCCCGGACGAGCATGCGACGACGCTGAACGTATAAAGACCGACGACGATGCAGACGAGTAAGACGATGAACTCTGTTTTTCCGATGTCGTCGATCGATACGAGTTTCACAGTCAGCCACATATTCACCGCACGCTTTCTATCTGTGATGTTTCAGCTCGGCGTCACAGCTTTCAGGCATGGAAGCAGAGGAAGACACGAGCAACGAACGAGTGGCCACTTATAAAGTCGGCATGCTGGGTGCATCCGGGGTTGGGAAAACCGCCCTCACCGCCCAGTTCACCACCAGCGACTATATTTGCGCCTATGACACTTCCCTGGGTGAGTATACGTCGCGTATTCCCTTGTTTTCCATAGTTGCGGAAATATCGACGTTTTTATTTGTAAAATAGACCGGGGGAAAATTTCATTTACCGCAGAAGAGGGTGTCAAAAAATGGCCACTTCTTGCACCTACGCGGTGATGCGATGGGAAAGTTGAAACGGATGAGCGCGAAGATAAAAAAGAAATGACAGTGGTGAAACTTTATCTTCGTCTTCTTCAGGTACCGATCCATCTACGAAATGACTCTGGAAATTCAGCCGGCAAATCGGTGGAAGTTTAACATCGAGGAAATCCCACGATGAACAGCGATCAGCCGCAAGTTCATCGACTTTCCGCCGACTTTGGCTTGCAACGCGCGAACGAAATATTTTCAATTAACTGCGGAGCCGCTGCAATGGAATTTTATTTCGGTGGAAGTCGGTCGTCGATAGGTCGTATCTCGATCCGATATTTTTCGTAGTCGATGAAATCGGACGCTGATGCGATTTGCCATTCAAAGTGCCCATTCCGAACACGTCGAAGCTGTCGGCCGCAATGCAGCAAAGCCCTATCTATCTGTTTACGTATTCGAGCTAATAACATCTCTGGTTATTCCGATGTCCGTCGAGCTCCGTAGTTACTTCAAACGAAAGTGTTTTACGCTAATTCTATTTCTGCACCGAGTGCAATTCGTTCGCGACACTCGACGCATACGTATACGGATACAGGTTGAGCGAGCGTACTGTTGGCTATTGTTCTCGGCCACCAGAAACCCGATCATACTTGGGATTTGCTCGATTTTAAACTCCGATTGATTTATCAACAGAATCTCCGAAGGATTATTACGTCGATATAGACGAATACTTATTTTGTGGTTGGATGAAAATTTGAGGAAAATTAGGATTAAATGTAAGGTATTTCTCGTTTTTCTTTTTCAAGTTCAAGTATCTTTCCCATCGTATTTAGGGTAAATAGTAAAGACATTTTTTCTTTCTCTTCTTAAGTGGCCTGCAAGAACGTTCGCTAGCAGATCCAGAAAATAACCATTTTGAGAAGATCCTCTTTTGGAGGTGCAAAAGTGCACGGAACGTATTTAGCGTGTAAAAATATACAAAATATTATCTAGAGTATGGTATTGTAACGTTTAATAAGTGAAACAAATTCCTGCTTGGGTTTCATATATATTTTTTTTTTTTTTTTTTGGTTATTTAATTTTTAGTTTAGTTGATAGAAATATGAATATAAATGAACATTCGCTGTCTATAGTGGGATTAATATTTACAACGTGAAGATTATTTGAAAGAAATTACATCCTGGTTTCCTGTCAAATGAATCGAGTATTTTCCTCTGGATTGTGTCTCAAAAATATCGAGGACCCTCTTTTTTAGGACAACCAAATACCGGAAGATTGTATAGCGTGTGCGAATAGCTGTTTCAAACGAGAATAAAAGGAACGTAAATAAAAACAGTTTTTAGTTTGACTGTGCTTCCAACGGAAAAACTTCGGCAAAAATTCCATGTAAATTAGATGCGGTTAGAAACGTTAGAAACTTCATGTAAAACCTGAGTCGACGTTTTCCAACGACGTGTATCGCTAAAGGTAAAATCATAAAATCGTAAGGAAAGGAAAGACGCGTGTTAAGGCAAAAGATTTGCGGACGAGCGTGACTCTGCGACGCTTTGATTACAAAAATGTTTGTGTTCCATTTAAAGCGATATCGAAATTGGAAACAAAAGAACGGAGAAGGAGAAAATATCGGAAAGACCTGGAATTTGCAAAATGTTTTGCGCCCTTTGTCAACAGCGACCAAATCGCTTTGTTAGGTATAACCCACTTTTCATTGCGTCGCAGCATTTGCTGACCCGGTTTGCAAAAACGTGAATGAATTCGTTATCAAGCAGGAAACGCTACTTTCACGGAACAAATGCAAAAATACTGATAATAAACGAAGGAATAATTACGCAGCTATTTCTTTGATGTCTGATATTTAGTATTTTATGTTAGTTTAATCGAAGATCGAACGGTAATTTGAAAAGAACGAAGCTCAACAATTAACGTCCTATTCGTTCTATTAAAATGCAAATGTACAAGGTCTTGTAAATGGCAAGTTTCTTCTGTTTCAGCCTCTCGTTCCCCTATTTTCTTCTCTTTTCGCATACATGTTCTTTACGTATTATTTGCTTCCTGTTTGTATTCTAATGGGAATTTCTTTTCCGTGCAACGAATAAATAAATAAATAAATAAACGTAATCTTAATGCGATATTTTAAGCTTATTTTATGACGTTTAACGTTAGATCGTGCATTTCTTGCTGCAAAATTTCAATTTCTAAACATTCTGGAATCAAATATTATTTAGATAATTTTTCGCTCTGTTGTTTGCCCCGTTTTCAGAATAAAAAATATTGTCGCGTTTTTCGCCATAAGATGAACCGTCTGATTAATTCTAAAATGAAAGAAAAAGAGAAAAAAAAGGAGGAAGGTCATAACTTTCCGTGTATTTATTTTCGCTTTATGGAACAGAAAAGAATTAGTTATTTGTTTTGAAACGATTTTTTTGAAATTGCGTATTTCGTCTGTTGGAAAATAATAAAATCTTTTCCTTTTTTTCTCTCTCTCTTTTCTTTGTTTACATGCAATGAAACAAATATAGGAATATCATATTAATCGAATGTCATATTTTAATAAGGGATTTCGCTAAATTCGCGCTTTGAAGGTTTAAAGTGTCAAATGTTACGCTTAATCGAGTTTCGCAGAAAAGAATCGCGCGAGCAACTGCACAGTTTGTTACACGATTTTAATTAACTTCGAATCCGGAAGCGTTACTTTTGTAAACGCGTCGGCTGCCCTTGAACCGTTCACCTGTGCGCGTAATTAACATGTTCAATACCGTGGAATATTTAGAGTTGCCGTTGAAAAAATGAACGAACGGCTTGACAGAAATATTTTTAATTAAAGCCAGCCCGGCGTCTGGTTATTATTGAACAAAGCGATGCAAAACCTACGGACAAAGGAAATTCCAAAATTGTAGAATCAATAACTGTGCAGATGAAAACATTTTCCGTTTTCGGTTCTTCCTGCTGTCCGTTGTTATATACGCAACGACCAGTTGTTAAATTACAAATTTTATTTCCGTAAAAATTATATTCCAAGATGAAGATCGCAGATTCCGATAATCGTGGACAGTTCGTTTTCATCGATTTAATCGGTTAGCTATTTTTGACGAGTATAGTCGTCACGAAGAAACGACGATACTTTGACTTATGGCAAGACCTAGTAAAATATCGAAACGATCATTTCGTTACAACTTAATTCTATGTTATAACAACCACGCGTACTCTGTGCTCGACGAGTATACTCGTCGTCGCTTACAACGTTTCAATTCGACGTTTTCAAACAGGTCGCAACTGGTTAACGTATTACACGTATTTTTATATTTAGTTAAGCATTAAATATTTCCAGATACGTTTCTACGTTGATATATTTAACCAAATATAATACCAAAAATATTATGCAAATTATGTAATACGCGTAGGTGAAACGATATGGCAATGAGTAATTTTCAACTGTCGGTTTGATTTGTTTCAGACGAGGAATACGGACAGAAAAGTGTTTCCGTGATGCTCAATGGCCAAGAAACAGAATTAGAAATCATAGATCACCCCACGGCGGAGATGTCGGTAAGCTTAATTACGTAATTACGATAGAACCCCTTTTATCCAACACGGTCCACTAATTCCACCCATTTCTTCGCTGTTTATTCATTCGTATAATCGGAATTAATTTTCATATAACATTTCAGGAAGTGAACCAAGTGGTCTCCTTCCCTCGTAAGGCAAAAACATTTATTCGTGCAAGCGTGTAAGGCACCTGAACTCGGATAACAGAAATTAACACTAGAACTACCGGTAATTAACAGGAAGCTAGTTGTACCAAAACAAGTTAAAATGACTGATCTTTAAAAAATACGTAATAATAGAATATTTTTATATTTATTGATTCGTTACTTTCTTACAGAAGGAATTCCATGTCATCTAGTACATTTTTGGTATTATTAATCCATCTGCAACCATGATCGACCTAAAGGAGGGTTGACACGTTCATAAAATTGTAGAACCAGTCATTTTGAGTGCTGTGGTACTTCTACTGTTAGCATCTAGCGATCTAGCGATGGATCCGCAATTTTCCTGATAACCGATATCGTCGTATCGAACGATACGCGGTGAAAATTTGAAAAACGCGTGGCAAGTTGTACGAAACGAGGAACCTGGTTAATTGAGGTTCGATAAACAGATCGCAGGACCCTTTTACATTTTGACAAGTACCAGTCATTTTCACTGGTATTGGTATAAGTAGCCTCGACACGCAATTATTTTCAGTTTGATTACATAAAAAAAAAAATAAAATTCATTATATTATTCTTTTAGTTATCGTTGCGAAAGTCATTACATCATTGCGGAAAAAAAATATAACACGAAGTAGGAATTTTAAAATCAAATTGTAAAATCAGTCAATTTGACTGGTGTGATAGTTCTAGTGTTAAGAAACAACATGTTCGATAAATCCGACGATCCGATAACGTCGGATCTCTCTGTTAAATCTCTCCCTGCTAAATCTGATAATTTCCTCGCTTCAACATATCTACATATATATATATAATTTCTACCCATTCCTATTTATTTAATTATACATATACAAATACTCTGTACGCTCCTTTTTCGTTGCGTCTCTATTCTCTTCCATTTCTTCTTGTTTTTGTCTTTTTCGGCCGCATTCATCACGCAGCGTCCCTACGCTCGGGTTTCTGCGGCTAAAGGTTTACCTTGCTTATTAAAATTGGCGGACTTATTTCTACTCGACATGGTATTACCTTTATCTCGATGGAAACACGCGGGATTATATCGTATACCTAATTTGCTACGAGTTGTAAAAGAAAGAAGAAAAGAAACACGAGGTGAAGGGTGTAGTAGTAGAATCTTGATAAAATTGAACTTTCTTCTCTCTTGAAAGAAAATTTCGTTTAATCTTTTATACGTCCCTGGATTTCCCTTTTATCTCGCTGCTGCCGACTATACGCGCGTTTCGCATGAAACAGTACTTAATTTTATAAATACTTCGGCATTATTTATGCTTGTATCTTACTATATCGCGGTACGTGTTGTCTATTTACGTCGTCGCGTATCTTTAGATATCCTTTGCGTCGAGTCTTCGTAATTTTAAACATACACAAAGGAAAAATACGAAAGCGTAAGGTTACTATCTCTTCTTCGCTTGAATAACATCTGATATTTATCCATTTGCAAGTGATAATCCGCTTGTCTCTCCTTATGGGAGTAGCAACCAGTAAGATGCAAGAATATCTTAACGACTAACGAAACTTCCTTCTTTTGTTTGTTCCAGGTGGAAACGTTCTGCTCGACGTACAATCCGGACGTTTTCGTGGTGGTTTACTCAGTGGTGGACAGGCGTAGCTTGAAAATGGCCGAAGATACGTTGATGTATCTATGGAAGAGCGATTATATGGCTAGTCGTGGCGTGATTCTCGTCGGCAACAAAGTCGATCTCGAGAGGAAACGGGAGGTTCCATCCGTTGGTGCGTACGAGCAATAAGAAACGAACTTTGTAACCAACTATGGGGGTGGACTTGGTTATTTACTCGTTGGACGTGCAATACTGGCTTACACTGTCTGTTTGACTTTCATTGCTATACTCTCCAAGCTTTCCTTGGCGTTTATTTGCCATATTTTTCCGCGATCATACTTACACAAAATTTGCAACTTTCTCTTTTTCTTTATTTTGGTTATCTGCCTTTGGAACGTACTCTGCTTGCAAGTTCGGTAAATTCTTTTGGCTATAAAGTCGGTGACTTTCCCCAGGTTGTCGTCTTACAGCATCTCGTGACATTCCTACGGCAGGATGTTCCTTCGTTTAATCCGCCCTTTGTACGTCCACGGGGTTGCTTTCTCAGGACATTGCGCAATTCCTTTCTTACGTCTCGTTGCGTCTCTTAATTTTCTCTTGTACAGTTGGCATTTCTACATCTTTCCGTTCGATCTTCGTTGCTGATGTCACCACGAGCCATTGACAACTTTTCCTCCGAGTGCCGTTTATTGCGGCGATTCGAATCCAGCGACGTGGTGCTGGCTCTTTGCCGCTGTTTCCCCATAGAACTATCCCATAAGTTCATATGAGTTTGATCATTGTCTTGTGCATTGCCAATTTGTTTTCTACGTCTTCCACGTCTGTCTTTTTTTTCATCTTCTGTTATGTCTTCAATTATCTTTTACACCTGATCTGTCCACGTGAGTTTCGAGATCAGGTGCAGTTCTAGGTAGTTAACTTTGGTTTAGTGGAGACGATCGTGTGATTTTGCTGGATATTCGATTGGCAATTTGGAGCTCGATTAAGCGCGTGTAACATTATAGTTGGATTATAGTCGGCCACGTGAGTTTCGATTAGATCTCTTGCTTCGTTTGATTATTTATAATAAAAATATAAACAACGAAACTATTCGGTTGTAGCAAAAGTTTCTTTCGTTTCGTAAGGAAATAATACCACTTTATGGAATTATGTACGATCCATTTTCTTCCGAAAGGAACTTTCCAGGCAACTTAATATATATTAAATTCTACATTCTACACGCCTAGAGTACAGCGAACGCAAAGTAAAACCGCGTTTTGCATTTTAATTAACAATCGCCACACGTAATCGCAACAAGCACGCGTTTCGGGATTTCTTGTTTCGAGTTTGAGTACCAAAATTTTCCGCAGACCGTTGCAACGAGTTTCCTCGGACCACTAAAACGTTTTACACATTTGTTGAAACGAAAGCGCAATCGAGACCTAAAGATACGAAGATCGTAGGAAAGTTAAGTACTACATAAAAGAAGAAGTAACTTTTCTCTCGGTACAAAGATATAGCCCGGTGCAATCGCTAGAATTGCTCTCCGGGACCAGTTCGCTGAATTTCCTTCTAACGTAAGAGTTTCCTTCTGAAACTGAAAAAGGTCAACAATAAATAAACTTGTTACTTGCGTTGATTAACATCGATGTTTATATTAATGAAAGCTGTTGCCGCGCTTATCGGTTTCCCGCTAACTATACACGGCCGTTCTGACGAAAGCTGATAGTTGCCACTTGGCGTGATGATAATTGCTAGTCGCGTAATTACGCTTTCGTGCTCGTACGTATTAGACGAGATTCAGTGAAACCTAAATACCGCTAATTTGAATCAAGATTAGGCTTTCTTTTTCCTGCATTAGGTACCATTAAGGAAAATTAATAATCCTAACAACTACGCAACGTAGTAATTCATTCTTTTGTTCCTTCTTTCATTTTGCATGTATTTATAGTACTTGAAGTAAACAAGTAATTTTCAATGACACGATCGTGAAGCTGCACGTGAAGTGGCGGGCATACGACGTGATCTATATTTATAATATTAAGGTATAAAGTATGAAGTATCAGTGAATAAACAGATCGTTGTACGAACTATGCTAGCTTCTATTCTTCTTCTTTATTCTTGTTCTTTCTTTCGTAATCCGAGTATATTAGCTTTATTCGTTATTTGCTGTTGCCTTCTTTCGGTGTATTTATCAGATTGTTGTTTCAGAAATTGGATGGAACAGGAAAATATAGCAAAATAAAACAGATTTTTCTATGGCAGATTTTCTATGGACACGTAGATTAACACTTTACCGACCGATAAGCGATTAATCGGTTTTCTGTCGTCGACGCTTACCGACCGATATCTTACCAATCAGTTTTTTGTCGCCGATAATCTTTCTCATTATCTGAGCAGTAATTTGTTATTACTCAGTTGCGTCAATTGCGTTGCTTTGTAAGCTCCCACAGTTTAATATCAATTTGAAGAACTTATCGTTCGCGATGAACGAAAAGAATAGTATTGGAGAGTCTAAACCGAAAGAGAGCCGGTGCCAGGGAGAATCTGCACCCGAGCTACCGATCGGACGTGCGTATGTCGTTGAACCACTAGGGGTCAGTAAAGTGTTAACAGCTGTTTAAACGTTTTAATATATCTATACAGATCGTATACTTAAGGATTGATTCTGTTGTAATATTTTAATTACAGCAAATTAGGAAATCCGAGAACGAATTTATTATTCGTTGTTTAAACAGCGATCATTTTCGATTGACAGAATTATGATCCGCTGTTTCTTGCTTCAACTGTCGGATCAATCTCAATAATTACGATTATTCAACGCAATAACCGATGCGCTGTTTACCATTTAAATAGCGATAAATAAAATTCCATTGCAACGATTCCGATGCAACGTAAATAGTTGACTCGAAGAAGATATTGAAATAATTGATAAAAATAAGAGAAAAAAGTCTTCTGTAATCAAACTATTATTGTCGCGTTTACTGTCTCAACTTCAGCCTCTCAATTCGTAATCTCTGTGCCAACAGTTGGCCGACGTTTGGCGAACAACTGCGGCTGCAAGTTCATCGAAACCTCGTCAGGACTTGCTCATCACGTGGACGAGCTGCTGGTCGGCATCCTAGCGCAGATTAAGCTGAATCCACAACGGGACCGCGACCAGGCAACCAGACGAAGAAGAAGCAAGCATCGTAGAAGGATCTTGAAACACCTGTTGGGCTTCAAAAGGAAAACGAAAAGCTGCGAGGACCTGTTCGTCCTCTAACGTTTGCCCGGCTCGAAGTAACGATTAAGAATACGTGAAAATTAGGTTTGTCGATCGTCTGATTCTTCTTTTCTGTGTACGTGAGAATCGATATATAGGATGTATAAAAAAAAAAAATGCTGAGATTAGACCTAAGGAACATGTAGTAGTCGTTAAAATAAAGAATAAGAAAAGCATCTTATAAATAGGGCGCGGATATTTATGCGAGCATATTTTTATGAATACAATAAGATAAAAGTGTTATCTAGATAGACAGTTAATTTTATTTACTAAACGTTACCATGTATTTATTCGTGCGTCTTTGCTTGTTACGTGGGATTTTGCGTATTTTGCCGCTAGCTTTCGATATTTTCAATTCCACGTAAACGCATAACAATCCGCAACGTACTTGTAAATATAGATACGAAAATCATTATTTTTCGAGACACACCACCTTTTTCAACCGCAAATTATCCTTATTCGTTTATATGCGCTTCTTTCGTGCATCACGCTTTTGTATATCATTGGACAATGTTAATAAGTTCTTGTGTAACGTCGAGGGAATGAAAATACGTAAAAATTTGGCGACTAATTTCTGGCCCCTTAACAAAAGCCTCTCGCACGACTCTGAAGAAATGAAACTCGAGAATAGAATCTCTCACACTCTCGATATTTCATTCATCTTCGCATACTACGTGTATTCTGTGCATTTTCGCGTTCTTCAATTTTTCATGAATACATAATAATAATAATTTTCCATCCATCCATAATAATAATAATTTTCGTACCAATATTTCTTAATACCTTCTTTATTACTGTAACAACAATAACAAAAACGATAATAATAACGATAACAATATCAATCTCCTATCGCGACCTTATCTCAGTATTTTCTACTCCTATATGCTAATTATTCTTAATTTTATTCGTCGAAGCAGAAGGCTCTTGCCTCTGACATTGCTCGTACAAAATATTCTAAGTTGATTTTTGTCTAATTTCTTGTATATTAATTTCACTTTACTCTTCCTCGGTTAGTAACAATACTTGAGAATGATATTCCGTTTGTAATATGCAATCTACAGGCTGAGTGCCGTGCACATTTGTACGATATATGCTCTTTGGTTTCTAGTTTGTAGTTATTGCACATCGCAGCATTTTCCTAATCCACTGCTGAAATATATCGCCTCTACAGCTTAAGATAATTTCACCCCATCCGGACGGTGTAAGCCGCTCTACGTTTCCTCTTATCGTCGTTTTTATTTTACCGAGTACTATATGTTCCAACTTCTGGATAATTTGACACCAACTCCTTTCGACACCCTACGTAGCAGAAAGAAGCTGAAATCCAAGCGAAAACCGAATACGAAATTAACGTAAGCCGTAAGCGTGTAAAACGTTGGAAAAATACCAGGAGTCTGAGAAATATCGTTTATCGAGAAGAGAAAGCAGATTACGAAGAAGTATTTTTCTTGGAACCACGTGCAACGGTTTTTCAGATCTTTTTTAATGGGATTCAGTTTGTAGCATTCCGAACGGGCTCGAATAAATCGAAATCGATTTGAATGAAATTGAACTGGCAGAGAGAACATCCCCGAGGAAACACAGATCTGGGAATGAGAACGATGAAAAAAGTATAACGTATACTTTGTATACTATGCGCGTGATATTTTCAATTTCGTACGCGTTTGATTTCAAAGGGGGAGAGAAAGGGGAGGACACGGAGTTCCGCGCACGAAACGACCAAAGTATGAATTTATCAGGGATGTTCCCGGCGAGATTCTCTGCAAAGTTTCCACGTGTTGCCAATACCACGGCTTGTGCCTCGTGCGAAACGTTAATGTAAAAATACGATTTGAAATGATACGGCTTCGACATTTTATTTAAAATTGTACATTCCTCGATATTTCTTTCGTTCGTCTAACTTTGTATGTAAATTCTTATATGAACAAAAATTGAGAAATTGGTTGATCAGGTAGTGTAAATTATTATGTAAACAAAAATTGAGAAATTGGTCATTCAGATAGTTTAGATTGTTATGTAAACAAAAATTGAGAAATTGGTTAATCAGGTAGTGTAAATTCTTATGTAAACAAAAATTGAGAAATTGGTTAATCAGGTAGTGTAAATTCTTATGTAAACAAAAATTGATAACTTGATTAATCAGGTATTGTAAATTCTTATGTAAACAAAAATTGAGAAATTGGTTAATCAGATGGTGTAAATTCTTATGTAAACAAAAATTGAGAAATTGGTTGAAAAGGTAGTGCAAATTCTTATGTAAACAAAAATTGAGAAATTGGTTAATCAGATGATGTAAATTCTTATGTAAACAAAAATTGAGAAATTGGTTAATCAGATGGTGTAAATTCTTATGTAAACAAAAATTGATAACTTGATTAATCAGGTATTGTAAATTCTTATGTAAACAAAAATTGAGAAATTGGTTAATCAGGTAGTGTAAATTCTTATGTAAACAAAAATTGATAACTTGATTAATCAGGTATTGTAAATTCTTATGTAAACAAAAATTGAGAAATTGGTTAATCAGGTAGTGTAAATTCTTATGTAAACAAAAATTGACTTATGTAAACAAAAATTGAATTGGTTAATCAGATAATGTACATTCTTATGTAAACAAAAATTGAGAAATTGGTTAATCAGATAATGTACATTCTTATGTAAACAAAAATTGAGAAATTGGTTAATCAGATAATGTACATTCTTATGTAAACAAAAATTGAGAAATTGGTTAATCAGATAATGTACATTCTTATGTAAACAAAAATTGAGAAATTGGTTAATCAGATAATGTACATTCTTATGTAAACAAAAATTGAGAAATTGGTTAATCAGATAATGTACATTCTTATGTAAACAAAAATTGAGAAATTGGTTAATCAGATAATGTACATTCTTATGTAAACAAAAATTGAGAAATTGGTTAATCAGATAATGTACATTCTTATGTAAACAAAAATTGAGAAATTGGTTAATCAGATAATGTACATTCTTATGTAAACAAAAATTGAGAAATTGGTTAATCAGATAATGTACATTCTTATGTAAACAAAAATTGAGAAATTGGTTAATCAGATAATGTACATTCTTATGTAAACAAAAATTGAGAAATTGGTTAATCAGATAATGTACATTCTTATGTAAACAAAAATTGAGAAATTGGTTAATCAGATAATGTACATTCTTATGTAAACAAAAATTGAGAAATTGGTTAATCAGATAATGTACATTCTTATGTAAACAAAAATTGAGAAATTGGTTAATCAGATAATGTACATTCTTATGTAAACAAAAATTGAGAAATTGGTTAATCAGATAATGTACATTCTTATGTAAACAAAAATTGAGAAATTGGTTAATCAGATAATGTACATTCTTATGTAAACAAAAATTGAGAAATTGGTTAATCAGATAATGTACATTCTTATGTAAACAAAAATTGAGAAATTGGTTAATCAGATAATGTACATTCTTATGTAAACAAAAATTGAGAAATTGGTTAATCAGATAATGTACATTCTTATGTAAACAAAAATTGAGAAATTGGTTAATCAGATAATGTACATTCTTATGTAAACAAAAATTGAGAAATTGGTTAATCAGATAATGTACATTCTTATGTAAACAAAAATTGAGAAATTGGTTAATCAGATAATGTACATTCTTATGTAAACAAAAATTGAGAAATTGGTTAATCAGATAATGTACATTCTTATGTAAACAAAAATTGAGAAATTGGTTAATCAGATAATGTACATTCTTATGTAAACAAAAATTGAGAAATTGGTTAATCAGATAATGTACATTCTTATGTAAACAAAAATTGAGAAATTGGTTAATCAGATAATGTACATTCTTATGTAAACAAAAATTGAGAAATTGGTTAATCAGATAATGTACATTCTTATGTAAACAAAAATTGAGAAATTGGTTAATCAGATAATGTACATTCTTATGTAAACAAAAATTGAGAAATTGGTTAATCAGATAATGTACATTCTTATGTAAACAAAAATTGAGAAATTGGTTAATCAGATAATGTACATTCTTATGTAAACAAAAATTGAGAAATTGGTTAATCAGATAATGTACATTCTTATGTAAACAAAAATTGAGAAATTGGTTAATCAGATAATGTACATTCTTATGTAAACAAAAATTGAGAAATTGGTTAATCAGATAATGTACATTCTTATGTAAACAAAAATTGAGAAATTGGTTAATCAGGTAGTGTACATTCTTATGTAAACAAAAATTGAGAAATTGGTTAATCAGATAATGTAAATTCTTATGTAAACAAAAATTGAGCAATTGGATAATCAGATAGTGTAAATTCTTATGTAAACAGAAATTGAGAAATTGGTTAATCAGATAGTATACATTCTTATATGAATAAAAATTGAGAAGTTGGTTACTCAGATAATGTAAGAATTTACATAAAGTTAGACGAACGTACAGTTTTTAATTAAATTTTGAAACCGGTCGTGTGACCGAGTCTGGTAAAGTCAGTGTCGAGGATTAGAAGATAAAAGCTTTGAAGGGGAGAACGACCATTTGTCGTATCATATCAGCGGTGTACTTTGTCCTTCGTGCGAATTAGTTCGCCTCGCGACGTTACGGGAGAAGAACGTGATAAGTAGACTACTGCGGAGTTTTATGCGAATTCGCATCTTAATGGATGTTACTAAAAAAGAAATGGGAACCAGACAGAAATATGCTGTATCCGTTGATCGTGTTTGCGAAGAGTATCGTACATTCGATATTTTCTATATACTTGCGTATTGTCCGCGCGTTATTCTTTTCTTACAATCATTTACATTTACATTTCTTACAATCGCAGGAAAATTCGCACTCAACGATAAGTCAGGTTTTCCGTTTCTATTAAAATTCCCTTGTCGATTTGTTTTTGCAGCTGAACAAAATAAACGAAGCTACGTGTTCCAAAGCAGAGCACAGATCCATCGATCGCTAGAATCTCACAGAAAATCAGTTTCTTTCGTTTGTATCGAAATGTTAGAATATCGACATATTAAATTGTACCAAGACGTTCGTTTGCAATCGTAAAATGCCATTAGACTTTTTAAGAAGAATCGATCAAAGTGTTTACAGTCTTATCGTATCTTCCCTGTAATCTTCAATTGTTTACAAAATTTTCTGTCTCATGTTTTACCGCGTTCTTATGTGTAACGTTCATTGTATAAACGTGAAATTCCCTTCTTCCAGTTGGAAACAATTTGATGGAAGAAGAAATGGGAAACAAAAGTCGTAGAAAAAAGAACTAACGCTTATAATGATTAATAACAATTGAATAAGCTTATTCAAAAACAAATCGTAAACCCTAACAATCTTTGCAAAGCCTAATTATTTATTCGTTGGAACAGTCCTTACAATTTCTTCGTTACAGTTATCAATATTACCCAACAATAATTATACCATTTTATTTACATACGTTTTCAATTTATTCCTAAATGTGAGAGAACCGAATATTATAAATTCTTCGACGTTCTAGCGCTTCTTCTTTCCGTATATTTGTCCATAAATACCATAAATAAGATTTCTCTAACGATCCCTGAAATTATAAAGCGACGAAAGCTAGACGGACTTATTACACGATCCACTACGTATAAGCGTAAAAATCGAAACGAATAACATTTACGAGACCGAAAGCAACGACTGATAAATTGTTGTTCTTGCGAATCGTTACTCTACATAACGACAACGTGCTTCGAATAATTTTAAGAAGAAACGAAAGAAAAGCAGAGGGAACGAAATGTGTTTTAAAATGTATTTTAGACAAGGCGAGAAAACGTATATTCGTGAATTTGTCTGTAATCGATGGACGATTATCCCTGACCAACGTTACATCGGCTTTTCTCGTCGTAATTGCGTTTTTTCTTTTTTTTTTTTTCTTTCTTTCTTTCGCTAACTTTTAAGCTTCCGCTGTGAAATAAATAGGATGTTCGAACGTTGTTATCGCTGTGGTATTCAATTTCCAGGATTCGTTACAAGCTAAGCTTCGATTTCAACGATTAAAAGATTTCCTATCCTGTAAATCGATTCGAGATAAGCGTGATTGTATTTTAAGCTTCGACTCATGGGACCCGATATGGACATACGAATAAAGTCGTCGCGTACGATAATCTTGTCGCCCATTTAAAATAAGGTTTAAAGTAAGCTTTCTTTTCTCGTGTTTAAATATTTGACATTTGTTCGTATCTTCGTTTCATTCCAAAATTGTCTGAAAATCTCTGTCAATGTTTGTTGTATTTTATTTTAATCTGTAGCCTCTTTATATTGTTTACAGGCTGTTTCAATGTTACTTTTAACGTTGTAAAACGCGTAACTTGGGCAAGAATCAAATTCGAAAAATTAAACAGAAAGCGATTCGACGTGATCGAATTTTAAATTACGTTAATGAGCGAGCTATAGATGAATACATCGATTAATACATACGGATTAAAATACAGATGATTTTTAAAAATTTCAAAGAATCTATACCCATTAAGCGTTTCGTGCGACACTTGCATTATTTTATTTGTTATGTTCATATCACGTTATGCGAAGATTCTCAATGTACATCGAAGTTTAAAATAAATATTATATATCATACAAATTCGAAACGATTCTTCTACAAATTTTTACACTTTTTTTTTAACCTCGAACGTTGCTCGAAATTGATAGACAAAATATCAAATAAATTTTCCAAAACTGTTCCCACTGACACCTGCTAAATTAAAATCCTCCACTTATCTTCATGTACGCTAAAAAAGCGAAAATTTAACGATATATGTTTAAAAACAAAAGCAAATGTCGACCAATCTTCGATCGATATCAATGTTACCTACCAAACAATTGTATTACCTTCGAATACGTTCCACAGCTTACTCGTGTTCAATTCAATTTTCAATTCGATACTTTGTCGTTTTCATTCGCGTGGTAACACGTGAGACCTCGTCGCCGTCAACAGTACGAAACTACAAAATATGAAGCAATATACAAAATACAATCTTATAAATAATTGGTTAATTTACTTGATTGTTATTAAACTACGAAGAAATTAAGTTATCGCGTGGTGTGTTCTATTTGTAGCTCGTTAACATCGCCAACACGTTTGTGACATTTCCTCGTAGCTTGTACGAGGCATAAAATGTTACTATAGAATACAATGTGTCCAAGTTTTGTTCTCGCGAAACTTTATCGGCACAGCTAGGGACAGATTACCTCGGTCCACATTATAATTACATTTTAAAATATTGTCCGCTATTTAAGAACGCAGCACTCGCGTCTACGACAGCAAATCGAATCTATCGCGTTACTAAATTTCTTGTTCACTTTCCCCGATAGTGGCAAATACGTCGGAAATCCTTCGCGATAACTCCTAACGCCATCTTAATTCGTCTTTAACGACCATCTCTCTTCGCGGTTACAGCGACGAGTGAAAGTCCATTGGTGCGATATCCGATGATCTCTGGGGCAAAAAGAATCGATCCTCCTCCACCTCTATCTATTGTCGAGGCTAATGATCGTTTAAACATTGCCAGCATTGATTGACCGAATCAACGACCTCTACAAGTAGATATCAGAAACAGATAGCGGGAATGCTTTATTAATTACGCTGTGCCGACGAAACTCCAGCCTCTTATCTCCTGGTATTTTCTTTCCGATAACTTTTTAATAAAGCGTTCTACATATTTCTTTACTTATCCATTTTGCTTGTAGAATATGCTGGTAAAGTTTCGCGGAAAGAAATCCTTCGGGACATGCCGTACCAATTATATACGCAAATTTAAGTATACGCTCTTTTAAATGAAAGCGAGAATTAAAGAGTTGAAGAATCTAATTGTAATGTAAAACCGGAAGTACAGCGAAACCCAAAAGGCTGGGTCTATGTAAATGAAAAATAATAAACTACATGCTGTCCAAAGGGATGGTCGTGCGTTTGAAATTTTAATCTTCAAAGACAAACAGACGGCACCAGTGTCAGATTCTGTGTATTTTTGCATCTGAAAATCTTTCGTAAACCCGTAGAAGCACGCGTGGAATTTTTTGATGAATTTGAAGATACAAAATTGCACAAAACGCGCGTTAGGAAACGTATACGATATCCAAGGTATAACTGGCAACGCAACTTTCAAAATCTAGGTCCTATGTTCTTAATTATGTCGATTCTCAATTACGAATAAAATTTCATTGGATATACCGGATTCGATACGGATTTATGAGCGTACATCGGTCCTATCACTGACAAGGAGATGGCAGGAACTGCGAAATCTCGAACGAGTTGGCTGTGTTCGATGCTTTAGGTTTACGTGAAACAGCCACGAAAGGATTCCCGTGATCCCATTGTTCCCGAGAAATTGACGTGTCTTTTCTATATCCTACTTTACCGATTCTCTTAACATCGATATCGTGTTTCCATTTAACGTTAAACGTTCGCCACTTTCTATTTTGAGAAATTGAAATTTTTTGTTATTTCCGCCCATTACAGCGCTGCTACGTCTCCTTACGATTTTGCGGAAATCGCAAAGATATATATTTTAAAACATCGATATCCTTCCTTAAGTTTAACGTTAAATACTGCTCGTTTTTTATTTCGATACAACGCGTACAGGCATCTCGTTCCAGATTTCTTATCACTTTTTACCATCTGCCGGTAAGATCAGCCGATTACAGAAACCGGCGCTCTAGATAAGGCGCTTTATATCAGCTCACTTGGATAGCACGGCAGTGGAGAAGGTGAAACGCAAGGTCTCGATGGCAGTGGAGCACACATTGGTGGTGGAAAACAAGCAGGACTGGGAACTATAGGTATCCGGCAACAAGGAGGTGATGGCGAACAAGAGGGTGGTGATGGCGCGCAACAAGAAGCTGATATAGGGCAAGGTCGTGGTTGTGGACAACAGGGGGTTGGTGGACAACGAGGAGGCGGACAGCAGGGTCTCTGAGGAGGAATAACGGGACACAACTCCTCGATTCTCGGTGGTAATACAGCGGAACACGTGGGTGGAGGTGGTACACTAGGACACTTGCTGCAAGAGGCATTTATGAAAAGTTTGAGAAAAATGTAATTTCTGTTCTTCGTGTAGTTTTCTTTTTACAAAAATTCAATCTTCTACATTTTCTACGTTCTTTCCTATGTTGTGTTCGTGTAAACTTATTTGTTATTTAGTTTATTCTTCTATTTAGGTTAGGTTTTAGAAACTTGCTCGTACTTTCTAAATTCTTTCTGCATTATTTTAAGATACTTGCTGTAAGAGGCGTTCTTAAAACACAGGAAAACGTAATCTCGGTTCTTTATTCTTCCACAGAAATTCAATTTTCTAAATCTTCTGTATCCTTCCTGTGTCGTTTGTGCAGACTTGTTTGTTATTTAGTTTATTCTTCTATCGTTAGGTTTTAGAAACTCGTTCGTGTAAAGCTACTATGAGTTATTATGATGTACGTGAAATAAATTAAATCTTGCGTATGAATAATGAATATAGAATAATTAAAAGAAAAAGAAATAAAAATATTCCATCAAGATTCCTGCATGAAATCAAACCACGTTCGTATAAAACATATTGCTGCATACATAAATAAAAATAATTCAGGAAAATAATGATTTATATATGTTTAAACTAAGCAATTTCACATAGTTCTGCTTTTAGTAGTAGAAATATTATTTCCTTTATCATTGCATAAAATTTAAGTCTTTTATCCAGAAGGTAATAACGAGAGTAAACGTACCAACACTCGATAGCGCAAAGCAAATATTTCATTTCCTCCAAATCGTTCCATGTTCCCTGGCTTACACTGATGCTACGACAACTCATTTTGAATTTAATATTACAGAAGTCCTACTGTATCTTAATATTGACGACATTCGTGAAAATCTTCTTAAAATTTAAGGAATTATTTTTTTATGCCATGTGGGTTATATCGTCTTAAACATAATACAAAATGAACAATTTTCGAGTCGTAATCAAAAAGTTACCAACAAATATCATTTGTTTTAAATTTCTATGAAAGATACTTGACGAAATAAATATTTGTGAAATTATCTGTATTTCAATATTTTGCGATCTATATTGAAATTTTTTGCAGTAGAATAACATATAATAATATGATGGGATAATTTATGAAAAGCAAAAATCTGAAATGAAATTTTATACTCAAAATATAATTTTTACACAGGAAAAATTTCAATTTTCTGTTCTTTATTACGATAAATTATTCTAATAATTTTTATTACACAAGTTTATAAACAAAATGTTCTTTTACTTTTTTATACGTACGTCTTTTTTAATTTAAGATCATCTAATACGCAATGGTATCACGATCGTAACCATAAACGCATCTATTAAATAAGTAATATTTTAATTGTTATCCTAATTAATTAACTATAATTACAAATATTTATATTATCTAAACGTGTTCATATTTTTAATTTCTCGAAATAAGCTTTATTTATTAACATCACTAAGTATAATCAAACTTCAGTATGACCAAGTCAAACCTTCTATTATCCCACATATCATTTTTTTCCTGTCAAACTTTATGACAAAAAACGATTTTACGATCGAATAAATAAAAATTAATTACCATCATACGATGCCTCCACCGAAGAAGAACAGTGCTTATCAACGGTTAATGATACGAATATCTTGCCTCCTTCCAGCAAAACTTCGTCCTGTTTTTTTACATCCTGCAGGTTGGAAAAATTTTTCACAAAGACAATCCATAAGAACTTTTAATTTGTTGTTAATATTTTTATTAATATAGGACCGACTACTGTATTCTTTTGGGCACCTACGTTTAAATGGGGTTTGGTGTTAGCAGGATTGGGTGACATGAAGCGACCTCCAAACACGATTTCTCTTACGCAAACTGCGAGTCTGATGATTACTGGTGCCATATGGTCCAGGTATTATTTAAACGATGCTATTTTTCTCGTAAAAATGTATACAACAAACATATCGTTTTAAGCGAAAGAAGTAAGATTTACAAATTATTTATCCATCAGGTATTCACTGATCATCACACCAAAGAACTATAATTTGTTCAGTGTAAACGCGTTTACGTGTTTAACGGGAATGTATAATTTTATACGAGCTCTGCTTTACAAAATAGAACAAGAGAAGGCTCAGGAAAAGGATTCAGAATAGTGTCCCGAAAAGGATGTGTATATAGCATATCATAAATTCAATATCATTATTTTATATATTGAAATTAGACATTATTTCACAGTAACGCTAACTATTCGAATATCATCATAAGGTTTATCAGTTTTCGGATTTGTTTTTACTTGACTAATATTTTGTACAACTTCCATTCCTTTCACCACTCTACCGAATACGCTGTGTTTATTATCCAACCAAGGCTGAAACAAATATAACATTAATATTAATTAATATGTTAACGTGTTACCATTAATATGTGTATTAAAATGTGAATGATCTCAATTTAATTTTTAATCAATTTCTAATCGATTACAAGAAGATAGTAGTAGATTTTTCACACGCGCTGCATTGATAAATTATATAAATTATCTACTACTCATCCTACTTTCACATATTCTCACATAAAAAAAAAATGAATTACGGCAAACTCGTCCCAACTTACAGTTGGTGTCAAAGTAATGAAAAATTGGCTGCCGTTTGTGTTCGGCCCAGCATTAGCCATACTTAAAGTATACGGTCTGTCATGTTTTAAATGTGGTCTAAATTCGTCTTCAAACTCTCCTCCCCATATACTTTCTCCGCCAGTACCAGTTCCAGTAGGATCACCAGTTTGAATCATAAATCCCTTAATTACTCTATGGAATATATGTCCATTGTAATAACCATTTTTCGAATGAACACAGAAATTTTCCACTGTTCTCGGAACATCTTTTCCAAAAAGATTCAAGTGAATATCTCCAAGAGCTGTATGGATAATTGCTGTATCATAGATCTTTTGTACGTTGGTAGCTTCTGTAGAGGAAATAATATCTTCTTTCGATGGTCTTTCATTGAAGACATCTCTATCACATTCTTGACTTTTGGTATCCTCTGGTTCTCTCCTTGTAAACATATAAAATCTATTTTTTTTATAAGCTGTACAAAAGAGTGTTGGATCAGGACGATTCATTTCCAATGTTGGATTTTCTGCAGCCTCCATTTCTACAGTCACAGCAGCTGTAGTCTTCCTGGCTTTCCCCTATACATTTTTAAAATATTAGTTGTTATCAGCTAAAGTTTGTAAAGATACAAGCATCTTTCGAAACGTGTAAATTTTATACACACCTGAAATAAAGCTAATTGCATAGGACGAATATTTTCAGGTTTCCCCATAATCCTAATACATCGATTTGTGTACAAATTTACAACTTTTACACCTAACATTGTGCTATATAAAATTATATAACCTGACTCATCAAAAACAATATTTCCTAAGTTCGTTTCTGTTTTATCCAGTTCTCTTTCTACCGCCATTCTAAAGACGTTATCAATATATTGATTAGAAAATAGATTCAGTTTTATGCTAAAATTTTATTAAGGAATAATGTTACCTTCGTCCAAATTCCATATTTGGTAATTGTTGTGTCATTTGTTGTAATTCAGAAAACCTTTGTAACGTTTCATCAAATATTCTATACAGTTTTCCAGTACGAAAATTGAAGACCCTAACTTTTCTATCTCCACTGAGAGAAGCAAATTTTTTACCATCTGGTGATACTGCTAGCCCACATGGATAAGTTTTATTTTTTGCAAAATCAAACAAATCTGTATCCAACTTGGTTTTAAACTTAACGCACTTGGGATACCTGTACTCCATTTTAGGTCCTGTCCAATATTCTACAATACCGGCTTTGTCTGCAGAGATGCACGTTTCAAATGCAGAATTGTACTATAAATGATAACAGTTTATATAAAAATTACTTAAATATGTTAACTTAAATAAGATCACAGAATATGATTATGCTAATTTCCCTTACTTTCATTACAACCACAGGTTCAATATGTAATTTCTTAAAAACATGTAATGGCGTATTAGTCCCTTGTCCATCATAAATATAAATTTTATTTGATTCCTGAGCAGAAACTGCTACAGCAGATATTGCATCACCAGGAGAATATATCCATTCACAGCAAAGTGGAACAAAATGCAGCTTTATCATATTAATCATGTCTGAAATAAAACAATAATATCAGATAATTAAGCCATATTAGTTTAATACAACACAATAAATTATTGAACGTATCTGATAAGATCTACTTACCAAAATTTATAACATCAAATATCTTTATTGTTTTATCTAAGCTTACAGTGCATGCGTGAATACCATTACAGCTAGCAGCCATAGACTGTATAGCCATCATATGCGCGCGAAAATGCTTTACGAATTCTACTAACTCCTCTTGTTTTTTCCAAAATTTAACATGTCCATCGAAACTACCCGTTATCACAAAATTTGATCTGTACAAATACAAAATACAAACTTATATTACAAACATTATATTATTATTTAAGAGATAACATTATATATAATAATAAATACTAACTTTGTTACCACAATATGAGTGATTACATCTCTGTGCATATAAGATTTTTCGTAACATTCGCAACATGGTAAATTATCTATGTATACTTGTTCATATTCAAGAACTGAAAATTAACATTGAATTTAATTAAATAAAAAACATTAAAAATTATATATATACAAAATATTGTATTTTCCAAAATTATAAATTACATTTATTGATAATGAAAAACATGTAATTAACATTACAAACTTATCAAAAGTAAAAAATTTTAATACTAAAATCAATTAATTATTTATATAGTTATGTCATATTTATCTTATATAAATAAATTTTAACACTTCTCAATTATATTTAAGAATCATATTGAAATTTTATACGATATAAAAAATAAAACATATAAATAACACTTATTCATTTTTTATAAAATATCACAAATACTAAACATAGAATAGGTTATACATGTATACCTTTCGGTTTCTTTCGAGATACAGCTTCTGAAGGTAATGGTCCAACCCAATCTTCCTCATTATCGCTTCCACTATGTTCTCTTTTATTATTAGACATTATTATAAAAAAGCAAAACGAAAAACTTATTATAATAAACAATAAACTACGCTTCAAATTGACGTTTATTACTACGCTTTCGACACTGCGTGTCACTAGTGTCATGCGATATCAATTCTATTAAAACATCTATTATTATTGACATAATATATTTTTTATGATACAAGCTTTTCTTATATTAAAAAAGAAATGTAAGGTTTATAAATAATTTACTATAACCAAATTATGTAATTTTATTTTTATGTACTTTAAAAAAAGGTATAATTTTTTATGTATGTAATATTATATCATAAATAATCATATGACATTAAGATTTTTGTTTCTTTGTGACTTTACCACAATGATTAATATTATTTTTAAATTACAATATAAATTAAATGTATAAAATCGTAAACGACGATAGCATTCTTAAATTTGACCCAAATTTCCATATATAGCTTTATAATTATATATTTCTATAAAATTATTGCCTATTTTAGTGTAATATATATTGTTAAATTTAAGTTTTACAGCTACGTAACTGATTATGTATGGTAAATTAAATTCTGTGATAATAATCAAATTACTAATAAGTAATACTTAATAAAATTAATAAATAAGTAATTAAATTACTTTTACTAATAAGTACATAAATGATTGATAAGTAATTTGCGTCGTAGAGTATTCCATATATTTATATTATTATTTTTTATTAACATTTTGTGACTAAATATATTTTGTATTACACCTTGACAATATAATGAAATGTATAATAATGATATAACTACGCACAAATTTGAAATATAATAAAACATATTTTGGATTCAGTTGGATCTGAAAAAAGTCTATTGAATTGAAATTTTACGAGTATATATATATATATATTCAATATATAATATAAAAAAATGTAATGCATTGTTTTCATATATATTTAAATATAATAATATGCATGATATTACTTTTTCTTACAATTAAATATGTTATTCACAATTAATTAATAAATTATTATGTATTCTAAAACCTATCGAAATGTGAAGAAGCAGATATATGTATATTTAACCTACTCCACTAATAAAATTTCAGTATAAGAAGGACGAAGCCGCGTAACGTTATTGTGTAATATATACGGCTTATTTCTTCGTAATTAACTTGTAAAACAATTAATATCAAAATTTGTTATTGTTATTTATTCGAGAAGCGTTAAAAATTGTTGTATTTCCTAATATGACTAGGTAAGTCTCAAAAGTTTTAAGGTTATATTGTTATATTACGAATCAAAACATTCTAAAAACAATTACATTCGTTTTATTCCAACATATTATTAGAAGATCTATACGATCATTTTTCTTTCACTTGTGATGTGCAATAACTATCTGTAAATCTAAATTTTAAATATTCGTGCTTTCAAGGGCATGTTTATTTAAAAACGTGTAATTAGAAAATCGTAGTTGCAGCATAAAAAAATTATGAATGAATTATGTGCGAAAATAATCTTTTAAGTACAATAATTTCTAGAAAAAAAATTGTTGAAAGTAACAAAATATGAATTCCATAAAAATTTTATAATTTCGCGGTTTTAAAAATCCTTTGTTTTGATAGATAAAAACATGTTTAATGATATCAATGTGCATGTATGTATATATACATATAATATTTTCAAATTTGTATGTGATGTATGAATAAATTATTGTATATATATATTACGTCAAGTAAAAGTGGGAAATTAAAAATTACAGATCAAAAATAGAGTTAGGAGATGTAACACCACATAATATAAAACAGCTCAAACTTCTTAACCAAGTGGTGTTTCCAGTCTCGTACAATGAAAAATTTTATAAAGATGTGTTAGAAGCAGGAGAGCTAGCAAAGCTTGCATATTACAATGATATAGTGGTATGTTATATTTGTTTATATACTCAAACGATATATTGATAAACATGTCAATATTTTGAATAAAAATTACTATTAATTTAATAGATTATAATATTATTTATTTCAGGTTGGTGCAGTTTGTTGTCGAGTAGATACCTCTGAAAATTCTAGGCGTCTGTATATTATGACATTAGGATGTCTCTATCCTTATAGAAGATTAGGAATAGGTACTGTAATGGTACAACATGTTTTAAATTATGTTTACAAAGATGGAAACTTTGATTCTATCTTTCTGTAAGTATTTAATGAAATTTATTAAATATATTAAATTCCATTTGCAAATACTCATATATAAATAGTAATTATTACTTTTATATGTTACTTTTTGTTTACAGTCATGTTCAGATAAGTAATGAAGGGGCCATTGACTTTTATAAAAAATTTGGCTTTGAAATAGTAGAAACAAAGGAACATTATTACAAACGAATAGAACCTGCAGATGCTCATGTATTACAAAAAACTTTACGTCCTAAAACAAATCAAACAAATAATCAACAAAGTAATCAATAAAAATCGTTAATCATTAATTTATCACATCTCAAAAACCTACATGTTTTCATAGTCTGGTAATAAAATTATTTTTATTGTACTTCCCAGTGTGTTATAAGTTATAAAATTAGAGTTTTATAAATAATTTAATAAAGTTGATAAATACAATGTACATCGACGTACACAATATAACATAACAATTCCATAAATTATTAATACTCGTAACAAAAGTTTATAATTTTCCAGTTATTGCCAACATTATACATATCACTCTTTTATACCACTTTACTAAACTCACGTTACATTTATAATACTTTATTTATGTTTAATACATTTAATAACTTGTGTTAGCTGCAAAAAATATTATAATGATCAGAACTGAAACAATCTGAAATATTTTGTACAATCAATATATCTATAGTCTTATTCTTTAAATATTTTCTGAGTAGAAAATTGAAAGCTAATTCGATTTTCTTGCAAATGCACATTCAGTAAACATAATACAAAGATATTACCATTTAAGTACTGTAACTTGAGATTATTTGATTTAAAATTATTTAAATACTGTGATTATCATTAATAAAATATAAATATATAATATAAAATATGTAGATAGAAACACACTTATGACATTTATGCACCAGTGGATAAAGCTTTTGGCATATTGCAAATTATTGTGTCTTTGTACATAAAAAATCAATTAAAATTGGCATCTGAAAAACAATAATAGCAAAGAAACTTTTGTTCCCGCATATTAACATTCATATATTAATGAGTATTTTTCATATCCATATAATTATAGTGTTAGCAGTTCTTGCAATCTTTTCACACATAAATCTGACCCTTCAGATGCCTCTTTTGAAACCTGTAAATTTAAATAATTTGATATAATAGAACGTAATTTAATATTATTGATTTATTTGATGAGAAAAATATTTACTGGTGTTAAGTTAAGAAAGCCATGAGGTAAACCTGGCAATATGTCAAGCGTGATTAATACACCAAGCGATCGAAGTTTTCTTGCGAACATGACAGAGTCATCCAGGCATGGATCTAACTCTAATGTCTATAATAAAACATTTTTATATATATATGTAATTTTTTTCGCATATTATATTCCATACAAAATTTACTATTTAAGAATTTACCAGCATTTTAACGGGTGGTAATTGTGCTAAAAGATGATCTGCTGCAAGATAAGGACTTAAATATGGATCTCTGGGTACTGTAAATATAAATTCCTCCATACTACTTTTCGCATTTTCTATATCCAGTTCTTTCGATTCTTTATGTCTTCCACTAAGAGACCATCCAAAAAAAGACCATGATTTATCATTCTTTGAAATATTGTTTTCTGTGCTAATAGTGCCATTTCCAATATGTGTTGAAGCATTTGTACCACAATTTCGATACAGTCCAAAAAATTTATTGACATATTCTTGAGATCTTGCTTCTTCCTGTAGATGTTCTGTTCCTGTTATGTTAGAGAATGTTCAGAGAGTATTTAAATGTAAAACCGACTATAATAAAAACAATGAACTGTAATAAAAGTTATATAATACACTTAAATTATTTTCTTAAAAAAATATCTTTATGTTTAATCCATTGTGTGTTTATATACCGTCAACTTCTGTTAAAGTAACAGAATTCAAAGTAGAATCAGATGGTAAGGATGCTAACTTATGTGCATCATTTGTTTCATCTCCATTGGGACTGAGAGCTAACGCTATTAGATCGCTTTCACTCACTTCAGCAAAAGATTCTGATTCTGACTTAAAACAGTCAGCTGCATATGCTTTTAAGCAACGTAGAAGAAATCCCATAGGTAATAATGGGTCTGTAAGGCAAAGTAATCGTGAAGGTGATAGCACAAAGTCAACAAGTACTGGTGTGTATGCCATAAATATTCCATCAGGTTTTCTGATATTTAACTGTAAACATTTTAAGGTAACTCCCAAATTTAAATTGGCCCCAGCAGAATCACCTATAAAAATGTAATATACTTATATATTATTTATACAGCAATATTCACATAAAACTATGTTAAGAAGCTAACACCCTGCAATGTTTTACATCTTACCAGCGAAAAGTATTTTTTGAGCTGTACTTCCAAGCAATGTACTTGCATGATTTAATGCCCATGCATATGCATATAGCACTTCCTCGAGTGCACGAGGGAACGGAGCTTCAGGTGCTAAACTGTAATCTATACTTAAAATAGGTATACCGAGATTTATTGCCCAACTACGTAAGTATGTTTCATGAGATAGCGAAGTCTGTGCTACAAAACCTCCACCATGACAATGAATTATTAATTCGTTGGACAGTCCATGCAGTTCTCCCCCTACTCCACCTGAACCAACCTGAGAGAAGCATGTACTGCACAGGAGTGAAACTGATGATTCACAAAAATTTCTACTCGATTAAAGGTAAAATAAAGATAAAAATAATAATGAAAATTACTGCTAAAATTACAGATATATAAAGTAATCGAATTATCTCTTTACCATTCCTAAACGACGTTTAGAACTAAACAGCCTAACATGTATTGGCTTCTTTCCAATATGACTGTTTGGTATTGGAATTGAGACAGTTGATCCACTTAATGTAGGAAGTGTCAATTCTTCGGGTGGTATAGAAATTATTTGATTTATTGCCAGAGAAGGAGCTGTTATAGCAGGCAACCTACGTGTAAGATCTAAAACATATAATAATATACATATATGACATTTTGAAGTAATTAAACTATAAACATAATGAAATAATTATTACATTTAAAATAAATTACGCATATATTATCATTAAAAATCGCAGTATATTACCAGCCTCATTGAGAAACCAAAATGCTTGACAAAATGAGATATCAGCACGTTGAGACACATCAACAATACGACGTGCCCTTATTTCAGGATCTAACATGTACTTGACAGAATTAGCACATCTTGCTAATAATGTACCATTAGAATAAAAAGCTTCGCTGAATGTTGCCATACAAACCATTATAGTTTTTAATATGGGCTTTAAGTTGTCATAAAACTGAAAACACAACATATTGAACTAGAAAATGTTAAAGTAGTTACTAAACTAAAGCTATATGTATAGATATCCTTATTAGTATACCTGGAATCCCAAGCACCTGCCATAAAAACAATACTGATTAATACTATCTACTTTACTTAAAATTTCATGTGGATTATGACTATCTCCTATAAAGAGAGATGGTTTTCCATCACTTAAATGTTCACTCCAAGAATAAAGAGTTTGTAAATGTTCTAAGCAAGTGCACAAAGATGCCAACAGCTGTGAGCAAGCCTCAATTTCTCTATAAATATTTGTACTTGTTAATATAACTTTAAATAAAAATATTTAATAATTTTATTTAGTGAATTTTAAAGACTACCTCATATAGTAACTTTTACGAAAAAATAAAGAGTCCTTCTGGCAATATATTTGATGACAGACAGAACGAGAGTGAATAATACATTTGTCTATTAACACTAGAAAACTTCTATATCCATTACCAGGTGTTTCCGCATCAAGATCAAACATTGGTGCAATTCTACTAATTTCTTTGTATAATGGTTGTAATTGTACCAAATGATCTAATATAGCCATAAGCGCAGCTCTAATTCTAATACTGTTCTCATCTTGATGCGACACAAAGTACTCCGAATTAGCATGACATAGTTCCCGTAATGCTCCCCATTGTAAAGGCTCAACATCTTCAAATGGTCTGTCAAAGTCATCATCGAGTGACATCTGAGCTGTTCCCTGCTTAGTCATTTAGTAATAAATTTTTAATTGATTCCTTTACTACAAACAATAAATGTGGAATCTGCAACATAAACATTTATATTATTCTGTTATTTGTTGACAAAAACAAGTGTTCTTATAATATATTTCGTAACAACATACTGCTATTTTTCAACATAATTAAAATATAATACACATAAAATATCATTAATACGTACAAAATGAATGCGTTCATAATTGGTAATGAAAACTGATACCTGTTAGTACTTTTACAATTCATGATGTTAATTCGAATTAGGTTATCAAATTTACTTAGGATATTCAGATTACGTTTAATTATTTTTTAACTTTCGATGTACACTACATCATGCTTATATACATTAAACTCTTCGTATACATTGTATTGTATATTAGGCAATAGCTTCTATTTTGAATTTGACATTTCTTAAATCTTTATCATGGTCGCCATATTGTTTTTTCGATCGATAGCATTATCTCACTGTAATAGCACGCGCTAGGTACGAATTAAGTGTTATTGACATGCATATGTTTGAACAATAAACTACATGTAACTAGCGAGAACATAGTTGTAAGATGGACTTAAAATAATTCTTGATCGGCTATTGTATTTATGCTAAGAGAAAATGATTATCTTTCTGTTTAATTCTAATATAAATTAAAGACTAATCGTAACATTCATAAACTCAAATTCATAAGAGCGATAGATTTTATCAATCAATTACTTGATAATTATTGACCTAATTAGAACAGATCATCGAAAGCTTGTGAATCCCTATTATTGAATGAAACTGAATTACTTAAATGATAATATCAACAATATAACAATTAGGAAGTAGATATATATAATAAATAATTGTATTATCGATATCAATAGGAATACTTACCAGACACATGTATGTCCCTAAGCTGTGGTATTTGCAACGATAGCTAAAGAAACCAAAGAAACGTACATATATGTACATGCGTTATTTCGGTACCAATTTCGTCAGACTAATGGCAATGAACGACAAACAACAAATTACATTTCTACGATCGCTGCTATTACGTATTAGGTAATGGAATCGCGTCAGATGAATTAATCACAAAGATATACAAGTGATATCTAATAACAGCAAAAAAAAAAGAAATAGATTTTCTTAGAAATTTGGTTATCTAAGATTTTTACTGTGAACCATACTTATATGTGATCAAGCTAAGTACTATTGATTCATATTTAAAATTATACTGTGTATACTACATATTACATATGAACTTAATTCATTGCATGATAAAATCTTAATATTAATAAACAATATCATTTACTTTGTGAATATCTTCAGATATAAATATCCTGCAAATATGATTGATACGTTATTCATAAGGAAATATTAAATGAAAAAAAGACAGCTCAATTTTTGCCGTTGTCGAAAAGTAACTAACATTCAACTAGTAATTATCTTTGTAATTTATTTATTGATAAGTAAAATTACATATATCCACAAACACAATACGTTCTTTTCACGGAGTGTATTAATGCGATAAAATTTGTGAGTGGCGAGGAGAAATCCTTGTGTGATGGAGAGAAAGAGGGAGACGGGGAGTTAGTTTAATCCTCCGGTTAGTAACTTTTCTACTCGTCGAAGAACGGTCACAGAAACGTTCTATAGCAAACGTGTAGTTTCCGATCCTACAATTAAAGGCAACTAAAAAATTATCCATCGTGTTTCCTCGATTTTTTCTCTTTTTCTTTTTTTTTTTTTTTCTTCGGTTCGACCAAGTGGGCGTTCATATGAAATATCAGATATTTTTTATCGAACCACGACGCTGATTAAGTCCGTGCAACGTCGATCAATCGGTTCGCACAAAGCCAACATCTTAGTCGAGATATTTAGCTGCCGATAAACGATACATAATGAACAACGCATAATAACATATAAAAATGCGATACCGAAGTGAACTTTGATTTAAGCTTTGAAATCGCTTTGTTGTCAAATGGCAACGAATGCAGGAAGTAAGATCGAAAACTAATACAGCGCTGTGTGTAGGCGTGTACACGAGTATATATTGCACGTACAATCTTGCTCTCGCATCTCATCATTGTTACGATATTAAAGTTCATCGAAGACGCGATTGAATCGATAGAATCGTAAGAATCGATCTATACCGAAAGAACTGCAAAAATAAAGTTTAGTTCCGTTATTATTCCCATTTTCGCCGACTTCTAAGTCCGAACCGCTACGCAAAGGACGTATTTATTTTTCTCATTTTGTTCCTTCATTCTTAAATTTGTTTCCTCTTCTTCTTCTCCTTCCTCTTCTTCTTCTACTTCTTCTTCTTCTTCTTCTTCTTCTTCTTCTTCTTCTTCTTCTTCTTCTTTTTCTTCTTCTTCTTCTTCTTCCTATTCCTCACTTCTCACGTATCTTTTTTCCACATTTTTTTTTCTTTTCTTTAAGCTAAAGTTTAATTACCTCGGTAAATATTTATTACCTCTTTACAAAAATCAATTCTTAAACTTATACAGAGTGGCTCGATGCAAATTCACAATATCTTGAAGTGAGAAAGTGACGGATGCTGCCGCCAAACCAACAGACTAAAACTGATATGCTTCGAGGGGGCTTTTCAAGCTTTTTTGTCCTTAATACTGATGACAGATTTATCTTCGCGTTTCCCTGATCAATTGTCATTGAAGAAACATTCTTTCTATTTTTTTTCTTTTTTTTTGTTTCTACTGTGACATTTGATCAAAGGGATGTTTCTTCTTCTGTTTTCTTCTTTTCCTTTTGTCTTTCTTCTTGGTGTGTATAAAGCTTTGCCAATATCTATGGCGAAAGTGCGTTACGCTATTCAAAAGATGGTACGCAAGATAAATTTGGCAAGCACTACAGGTGCTGTTCGCATCATATCTTTCGACAAATATAACGTATGATGAGCAACAGCACATTCGCCAACGTAGGCCAATCGACATATGGTCGCGTACCATCTCCGTTCTTTTCTTTTCTTTCGTCGTATAATGGGTAAAAATCACTTAATAATTGGAATGACATCGCGATTAAAAGAAAGAATAGCATTTTTCGTGTCTTTTGTTCCTTTTTCATCGAAAACATGTTTCTTCCTCAACATCTGTGAATCCGTATCAAGTCAGTTTTTTTTATACGCGACGTGTCAATGTTTTTTTTTTTCTGTTCATTATAACGACTATATGCTATAGGTACATAATGTATAGTTAATTTGATAGGTGTACATGTATATGCATATGTATATATATATATATCTATGTATATATACTGTTCATATATTACACACACACACACACATACACACATGAACATATATATTTATATATAGATATTTATATTATTATTAACGCATTGATGCTATGCTTTTGTTGTATCTCCATAGACATATGGATAATTGCTATCATTTTAATATATCTAAAATAATATTTTTAACACTCAGCGATGCGCGAATGTGTGTGCCTGTGTATATACTTTTTTTTTTTCATTGGCTCATTCTTTCACCGGAGTTGCGTGAGAGAAACAGTATGTTTAACTATATCCGTTAAATAGGAAGGCAGCTGCTTCACGTGCGCTTAGGAATCCAAGGATTATTATTCATTGTCCTCGGTTTGCGCATTCGCTTAATTTATTTTAGCAAAGAATTAACAAGAAAGAGAGAAACCTTATCGATAGAAAGAGAGATAGAGAGAAAGATAGAAATCAAGTACAGCTCTTTAATGTAGATAGTACTTAAAGTAGAAGCATCTTGAAAGATCGTCATTAACATAATACTTGCGCGACTAAAATTATTGATATTTTTTGCTGTTCGTAATTATACATAATGGTTATCGAATTGATATATGTATATATTAAAATATGGTTAATTTAATTAATACAAAGAAATATAATCCAAATAAAAATGAAACGTGCAATATTCATTGAAATTAAACGAAAGCTATGCTTTCCCACGCGACCCTGGCTAAAGCGCAGCCTACTACTTTTTGACCATATACAAATATATAAGCATTAAACGTGTAATATATTATCGTCATCATATATAATTAATATCCTAAGATAGTTATTGTATGAACCATCTTTCGAGAGAGAAAAAAAAAACGATGAAATAAAAAAAGGACAGAAACACGCTTGCCTTTAACAGTCGCCACTTATTCGACCTAAATCGGAGGTACTAATGCCACTCAAAAAAACTCCTGTGTTAAACTGTTCCTCTTATTCGGCAACCTCGACGTGATTCTTTCGATTCGTCCGTTTCCATCAAGGAAACACGACGATAACTCGGCCGAATCGAACAAAGCTGACGAATATTTTCCGTGCATACGTTCGGACAGCACCTCGATAAGATAGTGGACTTTTGTTATGGAATGATAAAATATCTTGCTTCTCGTTAGAACTTTAGATACGTTCATGATTCAATTTCTTATAAGTATAAAGTTGTATAATCTAAGTAGACGTTAAGTACTGAAAAGGTCGCTGAAAAAATCAGGCAGTGGGAATCGAACGGAGATGAAAAAACAGCTGCAATCACGAAGGTGAACGTGCATTTGATCGCCGTTCTGATATTTTAAGAGTGTCGTATAGAGCATACACGTAATTTTTTATCGTATAGTGCTATTTATTTAATATGCTTATCATTTCTTGTTCTTTTAAGTCGGATTATACTTTTATATTGCCACTGTGTAAGCTGCTACCGCTGCTACCATTTTTTTTTTCTTATTGTTAGTTTCACGTATTATTTAAGCTGCGTTTACTTTTATTGCCATTTACTATCTCGAAAAATATCAGAACTCAGAAATATACAGCAAAGAGCGCAACAGCACGCATACTGTGAATGCGTCATCGACGAGATACGTTTCTTCCATCCCATACGCATTTCCTATTGCTGAAAAAAACAATGAGTTCGTAACTGATCATAGTCCACAGCCTTCAAATCGAAGGGTATCGCGTATAACATTTAATATGAGTAATGATTCTCTTTTCATTCCTTTTCTTTTTTTTTTTTTTGCTTCATCATGAGCGCTCCTTCCTGTGTTTAGTTTGTTAATAACATATATGACAACGAAACGAAAACAACGTGTATGAGATACTTCCGAAGACAACTTTACGCGCTTCCCATATGGCACATTGGCATGTTGTTTCCCTTTCGAATTGTCTCGCAGATAATCCTGGCAGTACGAGCGTGTGTTCTAGCTCGTAATACTTCTATCTACTACGGTGTTTTGTAATATTGCTTTATACATATCATAGATCGTTAAATGTGGTCGTATAACGTCGCAAGCTATCATAAAGAGACGTTCACATAATGATATTGTATCGCAATACGTATTTCCCTATGGACAGATTGTATTCCACATATCACTAAGATGTAGATTTGTATACTTTCGGAATCTTCGGAAGAACCTCGAACCTGAAAGTTATCTTACACTAACAAAATACTATGACATTCTTGAAGAACATACGCGAGAACGGACAATTAAAGACCAGTTTCAAATAAAATCTCTTGTAGACCGAGGTGATTAAATTATTCTTTGATCTCAAAGTATTTATATGTAGGATTTTCATATCCATTGATCTGCATGTTTGCAACATGCCGCTCCTCTGGTGTAGCTGCTTGGTCAACTTCAATGAATCCCTGTTTAAAATCAGAAATATATGATTATACTGTAAAATTTGGCTAAAAACTGATTTATGTTAATTTTAAAGAATATTAACAATCTTAGTATAAATATCATTTAATAATTAAATCACGAGTATTTAATTTTTACTTCGAATAAAACAGTCTTCTTTATGTACCTGACTGTGGGGGCTTCTTGCACTGCGTCTTTTGAATACTGCTACGCCTACCACTGCTGCAGCCATAAGTGCGATTCCAGCAAACGCAAGTGTGAAGTAGACAGATCGACTTTCCCTGTGATACATCTCCCTTCTCACAGAGTAACCCTATATAACAAAAGGGATAGAAATATGTTCATATTATGATATTTCTTGGATATTATTATTCAGGCAATTTAATGACTACATTTACCGGTTCAGAGTGGGAAATATCATGTGTCATACTGTGAGCTGCCCTTACAAGTCCTTCACTGTGCATAGCCGCCACTGCAGACGGTTGTTCTGGTGGCTGTTGAATATCCTTGTTGTCATTTATCGAGTCATTTTCTTCCTGTTGCGCCTGTTCCGTACGTAACTCGCCACGTTCAGCCTTGCGTTGCTCCTTGCGTACTCGCTCCAGTAGTTTTTGATGTTCTTTTTCTATAAATCAATGAAGTATATTTAAATATAGTTCTTATCGAATTTTGTCGCATTTGTCGAACATTATCAATGAGAGCTGAGGGAGCAGAATACAATAAATCACATTTTTTTATAGGAGAGAGAAAGAGAAATTCAGTCACCAAAGTTGTCCTTTTCCTTGTTTCTGGGATAAACATGTATTTTTTTGATGTCACCATAATTTGAAAAACATTACTTACTATAATATTAAAAGATTGTTTATCTTGGCAGTTATATGCCTTTACTTTTTTCAAAGCTTCATCAACCGTGTCTTTACATCGAACAGGTTCTTTCCATTTTTAGTCAAATTTATATTACAATATTCCTTCTTATCACAAAATCAAGTCAAGAGTGCTTTTGTCATGTTCTTTCCCTACGTTCTTCATTCGTTAAATTTCTAAGTTACCTTGCTGCTTACTGGTAACGTCAGCCTGATATTTATCTAAGATGGCTGCTTCCGCTTCTCGTGTCATCGCTAGCAGCAGTCCAGGAGTCTCATCTTTGCTCCTGAGGGCCAAAACGTAATCATCCATAAGGCGGCCAATTTTTGCGCTTAAATCAGGATACCTAAATATAACGAACGAAATACATATAGTGTTCTATTAAGTTAAAGTATATGTATTTTTTCTGCACTGTCAAAATCTGGAATCTGATATTCTAAGACGTTGACTGTTACGTTATATCGACCGACACGTTACCGTTCTAGCATCAACAGACTCTGATTGGTAATTCTATCGATCTCTGCCAAGTGTTCCAATGTTGCTGGCTTCTCGCGTTGAGCTTGTTCCAAGCTGCTATCCAGCAGATGTTTGTAATGAGCGATAGTATGGTGCCTGTCTTTGTGAAGAGCCCGAAGCAATTTCTGAAGACATTTCTGAATACGATGCATCTGAACAAGAAATAAGAGGGTAATATATTATTCGCGTATTTGCGAGTGGAATACTTAAATACTGAATATTTCTATATGAAATTCTATGGAATGTACAAATATGGAATATATAGAATATCTTTTGAGAAGCTTACATTTGGTGGAGTTTCGTTCAGAGCAGCTGTGTAGCACGACATTGCTTCCTCGTTTCTTTGTTTAACAGCTTCCTGTAAATTAATACCATACATAATAAATATTATACTTCCCTCTCTCTTTCTCTTTTCGTATACACGATGTATATAATTAAGCATTGAACGGCGCTCATTTTAGGAAGAAATGAGATCCATATATTATAATATATTTTGTAATCTAAATGGAGATAATTTACTAGTACGAAAGAAATTCGTATATATATATATATATATAATATCTACTATATATCAATTAAGATAATATTACAATTATGCGGTTCTCTTTGTATTAAAATCAAATTAAACTGAAATTCTCTTAATTCCAACATTTTAGAAAAGGAGAGAACATCATTAGTTAGAAACAATATAGTTTCCAAAGTTTGAAACGATATTCGTAATATAAATTAGGCATGTAAGTATGTGTACATGCAAATTTAGAAGATCATCTATTTTAAATACATCATGATGGGCCTGCGTGAACTAATTTCGAGAATAAAGCAAAAGAATAAACCAAAGCAAATAAAACAATAAATATATTACATCAACTAAATCTTTAAAAACCCAATATACTATCCTGTTCGGTAGGGAATACATTTAAAAAACACGAAGAAGAAGAATATAATTATTATTACGATTCGCATATAGGAGTGTCCTTCGGCTACTGAAATCTATCCACGACTGTCTCCTTTCTAAATGCTCGTCACCTGCATCGATTATTCTACTCAAATCACGTACTTGTACTCTTTGTTGATGCATAGCGCTCAACTGATGTTTCTCCGCGGCACCGCTCTCTTCCAGAGCAGCAACGGTTTCCTGGAATCGCGCGGTCATCCATCGTTTGAAAGCATCAGCTGCGACCGGGTCATGGGCACGAATGTCTTGATATTTCTCTTCGAGATCACTCCAGTCCTTCATCACCTGAAAACGTTGTAGCACAAAGATTTCGACACTAGTGTCCCGCGAGATAATAGCTATCTCTGGAAAGTCGACCGCTTATTTTTCTCTGTCCTCCGTAATAGCTGTCTCTCGAAACTGTTTATTTCCTCATTCGATAAATTTACATCATTCGTGATTCAACAAAAGCGAAGAAGCAAAAACAAGGAAAATTGAATGAAAGCAAAAGTGAATAACGGAGTGAACAAGAATGAAAATAAAAAAAAAAAAAAAGAAGGAAATGATAATAATATCGTTTGGTTTATTCAAGGAAAAATGAATGAATGAAAAGCGAAAGCTAGGTGGTAACAACACCTGCTTACTTTCGTTACTTTCTCCTTGTGCACCTCTTCCAGCCTCATTTGTGCTTGCTTGTAGCTCTGGTGCTCGGAACGAGGATCGAAATGAGTCAGATACGGATCCGGTGTGCTCTGCGATTGAGAGGACTGTTGTGTGCTGGTGCTAACTGGCAACGGCATCGCGGTCACTTCCTGTTTCGGTTTCTCCGTGGTTGAAACTGTCGTTGACAATCGACTGTACAGAATGTGCATACATCTCTCGTTAGTAAATGAACGTTATATTATTCACGATTATGCGATAATCACGTAGATTTATTGGTCAAATTTAATGGTATTAAGTAGATGGGTAATTATTCATTTTTAATCGGAAGTAGGTAATTTCTAAATAATGTCCTTGAGGATTTTGTTCCACCTGCAACGACCAGCACGTATAACTATATATACAGGGTGGTTGGTAGGTGGTGGTGCAAGCGGAAAGGGGGCGATTCTACGCGGAAAAAGAAGTCGAAAATATAGAATAAAAATTTTTTTGTTAATTTTCCATCGAGACAACGATCTACAGTGAGATCCGTTATAACGAGACGCGATAAAGTGCAGGCGTACCGAGCCAAAATTCAAAGTCGATTTTCTCGAAAACGAAGCCTCGAACGAAAAATGTTTATTCTATATTTTCGACTTCTTTTTTCGCGTAGAATCACCCCCTTCCCTCTTGTACCACCAGTTACCAACCACCCTGTATATATCGAATACTTGATGTTAAGTGAACACGGGATATAACTGATCCCTATCGATTAAAATTATATTTAATATTTATGAGTTAAACTTGCAGGTTCGATGCAAATTTACCTCGTCGTGGTGTCGTAGTTGTAATCGTCGAGATATTCTTCGTCGCTCTCGTCATCGTCGGGTTGATCGCTAAGCACGTCCTCGGGATCAGCTTCAGAGTCATCTTCGTCATCTGCTTCGGTGTCCAGGCCATCGTCATCTTCGAGATCATCCTCGTCCTCGTCGAGATCTTCGTCCATACCCTTGGGAATCGGCAGGTCGATCGGTTTCTTGGCTTTCATATTTTCTGCAAATTACACGTAAATGTAAATAATATTTTACCGAGATCAGACAGACCAAGTTCTGTCCGCTGTTTCGAGAAAACTCTTCTGATATTCCAAATTATCCATCCTTCTATCTCAAACGATTAACCAGTTAGCTGTTTCCGACGAGTATACTCGTCACGAAGAAGCGGCAACGTTTCGCGTTACGACGAGCCCTGTCGATAATAAAATTCAAAAATAAAACGGTTTATTCTTTTTCTAACTCTATTTTCTGTAATTCTATCGCAACAGCCACGCATACTCTGTGTTCGACGAGTATACTCGTCGTCGCTCGTTTCTTGCCACGCGTTTTAGGTACGCGTTTCTCAAAGTTTTCAAAGAGATCGCAACAGCTAACTGGTTGACTAAGATCGAGAGGTCTATGAAAATTCTTTATTCGATGTCGAAACAGAGTGAAACTGCCGTTTTCAGTAAATTCTTTGCGAAAGAGAAATAGCAAATCGGTCGAAACAACTTATTTGCCGAAAGCGTCATTTGACTTCGTTTCGAGTCAAATCTTTGCACATCCACCTGACACAGGCTGACACGTATGCAGTGAGACGAAAATCCTTTCCATTCACCGACATCCTTTCAACGAGGATTTAAATTCGTATTACGCGACGCATAAAGAAAAATTTGAATCCCGCTCGGCAAAACGACAGAGACAGAAAGACAGAGACAGAAAGATAGAGAGAGAGAGAGAGAGTCACGGAATTAATTTGCATAGCTAACATAAAAGCTGCCGATAGTACTACACGGAGAACGAATGCAAATTGCAGGGGAGGTACAGGCCGCGAGGATCGCGCATTTCGAAATCCGCCTGTCCGTTGCATCTCCGGCGAGGCGATGTTTTCCCGCGACTCGCGTCCCTTTTCTACCGTGAAAAACTCTAATTTGTCTCTGTTATGTTGAAGAGGACAGCCGTCTTGACTAACTAGGTTCTCGAGATGTCCCATTCTCCGAGAATAGACACGCTGATGAGCTGACTTCTCGAGTTCTGCAAAGGCAGACAAAAGCTTCGCCCGTCGTATCCTCGCCGCTATCCTTTTATCTGGGTCACGTGGCGGTTGTGTTGGCACTTTTTCCATCGAGAATATCGTCCGGCTATTGCACGAACGTATCGACGTATCGTCGTTGATCGAACCCGCCCCCGGAGGGGACACTCATCCGCAAGTTTCCAACGACGAAGGAAGGAAATATCAAGATTTGACCGACGATATACCGAAAAGAAACAGGGGGACCGACGATCAACCCCTCCGGCCGACCTATACCGAGGGCTTTCCACGTATTTTCACGGACACAGAGGGAAAGAACGCTTTGCCAGTTCGTCCGTGAAAATCGCCGCCGTTGAAAACCGTGCACAGCTGGACGCTCGGCTCTCTTAAAAATAGCGGCATAAACAAAATGTGCAAACAAGTAGCTCGTCACCGCTACCTGTCGTCCCCTACCAGTCTTCCGCGAGTAGAAGAATTTGACGGTAGGAAAGTTGGACGTGTCGCCGAACTGGTCGTATAATTTCAGATAAGGTAACTTTAAGGGAAGATACGTAAACGAGAAACGTGGACACGTTGAACATTTGCTGGCATTGCTTGCCATTACCGATTCTTATATTAAAGGAATACTCTTCAGGTCTCTGAACAAGTATACCTTCTTTACAATATTTTATAATATTCTTTATTAAGTAGAATATATAATTTAAGATATTGGAGAATATAATCTACGAAATCTTTTACTTATTTTATCAGATTTAATCATCACCCTTTTCTTTAATTCAACTTTTCATCTTCCTCGCGGTTACAACCCTCTGAGAAATTATAAGCTCTGAAACCCTTGAACTTCTACCTTCTTTCCACCGGCCAATGTAGAAAATAAATGATTATTTTCCATTCTCCGACTGATTCTTTCTCTTGTTATACGATAGAATCACCTCCCTCTCTCTTTCTCTCTCTCTCTCTCTCTCTCTCCTCCTCTTCTTCGTGATTCAGACTTCGTCACAAGCTTGTCAACACGGCGTACATAATAAACCCGGCTAAAGCACCACCCTACGAGCGGTGGTTGGTCGACGATGGTTGCGGTGGCGGAGGTTGGAATTTCGTCGGTGATTCATCGGTCATTCCTATTGATCAGTAAGCTCGAGGGTGGAAAGCCAAGGGGACGTGTCGCGAATCAAGCCAGCAGACAGTGCGGCTACGATGGATAAGCGTATTGGCTGCAGTTTATTAGCTACACACGTACGGCAGGCATATCGGCATCGTGTATTGAAAAGAAAAGATGCGCAGGAACGGGCAAAACCATAGTATTACGTTGCGCAGTCGTCGGGAACGTCGACGGTCGTTATTGATTGCACGAGCGAGTAAGATAGAAGCGGCAAGGGTAAACTACCCCGTGGAGAAACGAAGAGGGTGAATCGAAGTGTACCCACTTTCTTAATGCACTCTCTTCTCTCTCTCTCTCTCTCTTCACCTTCTTTCACCGTTTCTCTCTTTCTCTCTCTCTCTCGTTTTCAAGCTGCCCGAACGACGCTCGATCGCAAATAGAGCACAAAGTAGCGATGCGATCAAGTTCAACGTGTACGTTACCGTTGATAAGTAAACTGCGGATGTTTATGTAAACTCAGATTTTCATGAACGTAATTGGAAATATGCAGCTTACAGTCAATCGCGAAAGTCTATGTACATAGACATCCCTTAAATACGAAATACTCGAGTAAAAAGGCTGGTTCTAAGGAATTTTCGCATTGGCTGACGTACAGTGGCTCGCGAAAGTATTTCAAACTTGGTTTGATTAATATACGGTACGAACAATGGTGTTCAGCGTGCGATTTTAGCAACGAAGATACAGTATCGATAAATATTTCGGCTCGCTGGTACAGCGTATAATTGGCCGCTCGAATCTAATTTTCCGACATACTTGAGCTCGTGGCTTGCACGAAGCTCGCTATCAGACGGCTGTTCGCGATCAATATCGAGCGAGAAACGAACAGACGCGGGTTTTAATTATTAAATTAATTTGCGTTATTAGAACGTTTAATTCTTATTAAATCGTCCTTCTCTTTCTCGTCGTTCATTCGCTTCTCGGGTACGTCGTGCTTTCTAAACGATTCGCACGTCACAGGCACGTTTTCCAAACGTTAAGTCTCCTTTGTCACTTCGTTAAAAGCTTACATACATCGATGATTAACGAGGAGAATCGTTGAAACGATTCAATGGTATTACGAGGTTCCATGAATTCCGGAATGGTATCGCTCGACGTGCGAAAAAGGGCCCGATTTAAAGCGAGAATGAAACGCGAAAGAACGACGAAGAACGCGTTTTTCGCAGTAACGCCGATACTATTTACTCAAATAGATGAATCGGGCACGTAATATTTTCCATCGTTTTGCGCGCAGATCGGATTACAATAACACGTTTTCCTTTTCAGCGATCAAACGTCGGGCCGCGAGTTCCACTCCTACGTTGTTCGAAACACGCGAGTCGTGAGAATGAATCGATAATTACATACACGCAGACAGGAAATAAGGCCAACATGTTTTACCGAGTTTACATCGTAAGCAGGATCGATCCTTGTTCGAATCAATTTTTATTTCGATAATTATTCGAACAGACGAACTATCCGATATCTTTATTAACAAGTATCGGTATCGGAGCTTGCTACAAGTATCGGTATCGGCGAGGACGAATTATTTAACTTCGACTCTGCTTCACTATATATTCATAGCTACGTTTTCCAATAATAATCATGCAACGAGCTACTGTGAGTTGCAACGACAACAGCAGAGCGTGCAAAATACAAAGTATCTACTATTATCGCCTATATACATCTGAAACATGTTGCAATGCACGGATCGAGTTCTAGATTTCACGATACAACTTACGGTTGAGACGGTAAGACGAATTTCAATAGGAAGATGACGAGTAGGGAAACATACGAAATAGGCTTTTGTTCATTTTCTGGCTTTTTATGTGTTAATCGATAAATTCGCTGGATTTCGACAAATATCTCTGACGTTAAGATAATCGTTTTCTTCTGGCATCGAACAGCGGGATTTTCGAACAACACATGGTCGAATATGAGGACGACCTACGAAGCTTTACGATGCAAGTCTTCTAAAAGCAGTTAAATCGATGAATTGTCGAAACTTTCGACTAGTCGGAAATATAATCATCTCTGTAAATTTCGAAGAGACTAGAAAACGAACGTTTCACTGCGAAAGCAAATAAAAAGACAATTTCACACGATGGGATTACAGAAAGGGACAACGTAGGATTAATCGGCAATGGGCTAGATTTTAACGAAAATTAGAAAAAGAAAATAGAAAATGTAATTTACTGTCAAAAAATATCGCTTCATGAAATTCGTTTAATCTGCCGTACGAAATACAGCGATAAAGTTTCCAGCGCGATTCTGTTTCCGGTAAAATTGCAACAATGTGAATAATCACATTCATCCGCTGTATAATCAGATTACGTTTTTCATCGATATGCGCGAAGCAAACACTGTTAATTATTTTAGTTATCGCAAACATTGTTTTTCTTTTTTTTTTGTAAAAACCTGTGTGAGATCCATGTTGCAGAAAAAATGGAATATAAAATTTAAAACAAATGGCTGTAGCAAAATTTTTGATAAAATATGGCCAATCGTCGAGAGTTTATGGAAAGGCGAACAGGATTTATGGAAATTCCATCACGTTGAAACCACGCGTTTTTCATTCGGTAAAAGAGCTTCGAGAGGGACGTAAATCTATCGAAAATATAAAGTGTTCAGGGCGATCTTCCATAAATCGACTAGATATTCTTACGAAAAAATTCGTGAATTTAAGATCGACCATAACGGTGAGCCAATCTTCTCCTCGTTTTTCCCTGATTTATTCGCTTATCATCGTTGTCTTTCCTACATTTCTTTTTTTTTTTTTTCTTTTTCAATTTCTCGTACAAAAGGAGCTACTCGTCGTTCCTGAAATTCGAACTGATATCGTCGATATCGCGACTGATACGCTAGAAAACGTGTGTGTGCGTTAGCGGAAATGTAATAAATAACGGATTCGACGTTGCAATATGCAATAAGGTACGAAAATAAAATTCCGACAATAGACTACAGCGAAACCCCCATTTATCTGAATTCATCGGTGAACAAATAATTCACGTACCGCGGTTCATATTATAACACGGTAGTTGAATTTTCTCCATCACCTATCGCTTTGCATTTACGTAATAGGAGTTCATATTCGGACAAGCGAAGTGAACCGGCAAAGTTCGTTTAACTTGAAACTTCCAAACGTTCCGTATAACGCGAACAACGCGCTCGTAAAATGCGTCTACGAGTATTCGAATGCTTTCACGATCTTGTACACGATATATCAGGCGAAGTCGGCGGTTTCGAAGTATAATATTCCCAATAAAATTTCTTAACGTCTTCTCCTCGGAACTTTGTACAAGTCGACTTCGGGACACGCATCGAAGGATTTCAGAATGTATTTTCACATTCGACAGAATCAAATGTCGTAACTTAAAATCGGATACGTGCATTGCGTCTCATTTCAGTGCATACAGGCGGTGTAACCCATTCGCTGCTACTGCGATACGATTATTTTATCACTGGAATTGGGTTTCTTCCCCACGCGTCACCTCTAGCTTTAAGTAATAATTACAGTCTCCTATCGCGTCATCATTCGTTAACGTGTCGAAACAAAATGACTTTGTTAAAAACAAAACTTTGTTAAGGAAGGATACAACGCAACGGAATTGCAACTAAATATCGCCAATTATATCGTTGCGTTGGACGCAACGGGTGCGTCGGTAACAGCGAATGCGTTAAGAGGCTACACTGTTCAACACAGAGATGAAGAAAGTCGTCGATGAATGAACGTGAATGATGATATGAGAGAATGTACGTACGTTACGTACCTTTGAGGTGTTTCGGGCAGCACACGAATTCCACGCCAGAGAACAGCGATATTCCACAGGGCAACAACATCGCGAAGCTCCTCAGGTTCATATTCCTCTCTCTGCATGTGTCGGCTGCGGTCGCGTTCCACCTGAAACGGAAGATTCCCGGATTATGTTCCCAGTTTCTGTTCCTTTCAGCGAATTACGAGCTTGCGTTTCGCAGAATTGCGTTATATATTCCGGTTTGCAAGATTCTATTCGCTTCTTCCAACGGGGCGCTTTCCATCGGACACGTTCTTCGGTCTATCGTTAGACCGTGGATATCGATGGATTTTCGAGAATTCCAAGGCTGCAAAAATCTACAGAACGCACGTGCGCGAAAATGTATAAAATATCGAAAATAGAGGCGCCTATTGATAATATTCGATAGACGAAACGAATTTTGTTCGCTCCTTGGATTCATAAAAACATAAAGCTGCACGAACGTCCACGGTGCAGCTATCGCGACGCACCTGGAGCATCGCCTTGAATCAGCAGAGTCAGTCGCAACGTCATCTTCCTCTTCTGATTTTGATTAAGCATCGAACAAACGTAAACGTTCGTCTGCTTATTATTATAGACCATGGATTTTTATTCGACGAAGGAACGTTTAATGGACTAAACCGAGCGTGTGAGCAAACACGAAGCCATCTGAAAATTCCGGTGGGATTAGCTGCGGTCACCTAACGAGGCAGCGGGTACCTTATTTCAAAGGCAACTAGAAATTATTATCGAACTGGGAACCCCGGTGGAGCGTATGGTCGTGGAGGATAGGGTTACGCGGTGGCGGACACGTAAATCGATACGCCGGCGTTGGCTCGTCATCGACGAGACGCTCGCTCGTTGGCTCGCTTACCTGTGAGATTCCCAGCATTTCGTCTGATTGTGAAGGTGGTCGAACAGGCAACCTTCCGGCACGAGCAACGCGTCGCTTTGGAACGGTCCCTCTGAAAAGGAGAACGTGTCGATGTGAATAAAAGCGAAGGGAAAAGGTCGGGTACTGTGGCATGGACACGCCTATATTTATCATTGAAAGAGACACGAGGCAGAGATCGCGTCACATGGTGCACGTACAGGTCCATAGATGTCTACTCAACCCCTTAACGAGAGCCACTCTAGCGCTACGACGCGGCACAACTCCACTCGACACGACTCGCAGGAATCGATACGGCAGAAACTGCAAATCAGAGTGACTCGCTTCGGGGGTGTAAACTTGTATACGGCATCCTAAGACTGCGGTCAGAATTCGCTTGGGATTACGTTTCGTACTCTATACCAGCAGGTGTTTACGACGTGTACGAAGTCATGGGAACAGTTTGATTATTAACAACTTGGTTGTTACAGGCTACGTCCACTGAAAGTTACACAGTCGCTCGTGAAAGTTTACATAAATCAATCGAATTTCGTGTACGCGAATTAGCAATGAAACTAGAAACGCTTTTCGTCGCAACATTTATATTTACGTATTCGATACTCGTTATACGACATTCCATTAATGCAAAGAAATCGACTTTCGCATTTATGAAGAAATTCTGCCTCTTTGGAGTTGTCTACTTTACGAACCGTACCAATTTTTGTACCTCTAACGCTTTCGCTTATTAGATATTCGAAATGGACGATGGAGATGTTTCAGATGAAGAGAGTTCAAATTTAATAAATTTACGTAATTTGTGGAAGAATTCAGAATTCTGCCTCTCTGGGGTTGTCCATTTTACGAACCATACAAATTTTTGTATTTTTAACGCTTTCGCTTAGATACTCGCAATGGACGATGGAAATGTTTCAGATGAAGAGAGTTCAAGCTCAATAAATTTACGTAAATTGTAGAAGAATTCAGAATTCTGCCTCTCTGGGATTGTCCATTTTACGAACCGTACAAATTTTTGTATTTTTAACGCTTTCGCTTAGATACTCGCAATGGACGATGGAAATGTTTCAGATGAAGAGAGTTCAAGCTCAATAAATTTAGGTAAATTGTAGAAGAATTCAGAATTCTGCCTCTCTGGGGTTGTCCATTTTACGAACCGTACCAATTTTTGTACTTTTAACGCTTTCGTTTGTTAGATACTCGCAATGGACGATGGAGATGTTTCAGATGAAGAGCGTTCAAGCTTAATAAATTTACGTAGTTTGTGGAAGGATTCAGAATTTGTAGATTTCTTGTTAGTCGCGTTACGAGGCGAAAACTCCATCGAATTTATAAATAGCTAGTATCTCGTACGCACGGCGAAGTTAAATAATTTTTGCTGAAATTACTGTTCCTTATTAAAATCGAAGAAAAAGGAGTTACATTTTTATTGAAAAAGCTTAGGAAACGCTTACAACAGCAGCCAATTTATAACCCAAGCTGTTTCATCTATGAATAAATGCTGCGAGTTATTACATTTTTTTTTTTTTTACACAAACAGAATGAAACGCAAAAGGAATAAATAAATGATTTTGAAACGTTTTGCAAAAATTGTACAACGAGGTTTTAATACAATTTTAATACCGAAAACGTCAAACGTTTAAATTGCGTTTCATTCGTTGTTCGGAATTTATAAATGCGCCGGCATGAACGTAAATTTATAACAGCAACAGAATTTGCAAGCTCGAAAAATGCAGCGATACCTTTTTTTACGCTATTTTTTAAAAATCCATCGTTGCGGAGATGTTGCGCGAAAAAGGAAAAAGTTGAAATTTAAACATTGAAAAGTTCACAATGACCAGAAGGATACTTCACAGGGGCTGTTTGTAAATTTTATCTCTTTCTCGTAGTCGTTTTATCAGCTTCGAGTAGAGATTCTATAGAGGAACGTTGTGACGTGTAGTGCGATATTTTTTTATTACGGGCCATTCTATCGTTTTATTATACCCGTGTGCGAGTCCGTGATTCGACAAACGTCCCGTGAATCTCCAATTTTTATACGCCTGGTCTACAGTCGTACGTTAAAGCTAAACGATTCGTCGATCATCTAAAATTCAAATATCAAAAACATCTTGGACAACTTGAACCTCGTTGAATTCTATTTTAACGTGGAAACCTGTTAAGCGGAATAAAATTTCCTATTTAATAAGGGAATAAAAAATCCCTGCTCCCAATTACCAAGCTCGGTAGCATGACTGAAATATTTCTTGTTGCACGAATTAAACGATCCTCGAGGAAATCTGTTATTACGATGATACGGCAATGGGACGCCCGATTAGCATGGACGAAGTCGAGAAAAGTATATTAACGGTTATAAGCGTTTGTTAAGATCGCCAAGAAGATTTAAATTATCGGGAAACTGGGCGAGAGGAGGGGATTTGAATTTTAAAACGAATATATTAGCCGGATCGCATCGATGCAATGCCTGCGAGACACTGGGAAAATGGAAAATGGAAAATAAACACGGATAAAGATCTTATCCTAACGGGATGATTATTATGAGCGTGAAGTCGGAAATATTTGCGCGTCGCAGCAATTTTCATATCGACCGAACCGAGTCTCTTTAAATTCGCAGAATTAATAAGCGGAGAGAGAAATTGAGAGATAACGATCTAAGGGAAATATCATTTCTTAATAACATATATTATACAGGATGTGACAAATGTGGCAAACTTTATCGCTGTATCCTGTGTCATGTAATGCTTAATCTTAAAAGATATGGAACAGAGATATGAAATTTTGTTTACTTGTAGACTGTGAGATCTGTTATACAAAAGTTATTATAAACGCTAGAGGTAGATAGTCCTTTATTATTTCGTACTTTTGTTATAACGCTTTTAATTAAGAATTTCTGCAACCATGTTTGTACGACAATTTATCTTTTGTTTTTATTCGCGGTATACGCTGACAGATATTTTACAGAGAAAATCCAGGACATCCTGTGTACGCGTGATCCTATTCAACGAACGCTTTATTTCATCCGGATCTATTTAACCTATTTCTTTTCACTTCCTTATGAATGCCACGTCGCAAAGCAAAGGCGATATACATATAGTCGGCTAATCATATTTATTAACGAGAATACACGTTCAGTTGACGCGAGAATAGAGCAACAAACCATGTTTTCGCTATAGCTAATAAACGTACGCAGGTAAACTTTAGCACAGATACGCTTCATACATATTTAAATTCGAATTCATAAATTTCACATGGAATGCAATAACTTTGGAAAAAAGAGCAGAGGTGGAGAAAACAGGAGCTTTCTTTAAATTTGCTTGAGATATGCATAAAAGTAATATCAACGGTGTTACAAAATGGTTGTTGGGACATGCAAATGTTCTTCATTGCACAATTTTTCTGTTGCAAAAGAATATACAAGTGTCAAGAGTAAAAAGTAATATCATACGTTGGTACACTAAATCGTCGAACGTATCTTTGAATACATTTTTAGTCAGCAGCAGTAGGTGATTTTATATTTTCAACGGAGATCTTCTCACCGCGTTAGGTGTCTGGCTGCCATTTAAATATTCAGCTTTTTATCTACGCTTTTACCAAACGCAAATAGTAAAAGCACGTGTTTACTAATCGTCCGTGTACACTTTTTCCCATTGAAATTGGCAAGCTAACATACTAATTTCTCGCTTTCGCTTCAACGCGTTACCGACTGCTCTCGACAGACGTTTACGCTACGCGTAGAAATAGGAATTATAAACGCGACCTTTTCTTAATTGGTACCGTTAAGTTACACGGTAGATGATCATTCAGATTAGATCAGAGTCGAGTTTCTTAAAATCTAGGATATTCATTTTCAATATTTATTCTGCGTCTTTGTCAATGCCACTGATAGAGCCTTTATAACTTACAGAATACACGGTAGGATCAGATAAATAAAAAATCGTGCTAATCGAAATTGTAATCTTTTAAATCGTTCGTCGCAATCAGACTCTCTCAGAGGCAATGCTTCGAATAAAAAAAAAAAAACAGAAAGAGAGAGAATCCTTTGTTCCATATTTTAGATTCAACGTTGCACCAGAAATCGCTTCGCGTACATACATCTGCATATTCAAATTCCACCTTTACGTCAAAATTCCATTCTTTATTGACTTAGAAAGCCACGTCGACTCCGTTAAAGCGAAACGAGCTGCTAAAGTTAAATGAAAACTGAAACACTGTCCATCCAGATCACTTATCAGAGAGCAATTCTGATGCTAATACGTACCGAGACATCTGTACGGCTTGACCCAACGTGACAATTTGCATTTAGTTCTGCCTGGCTTGCACCAGCCGTTAACCCTCACGTAATGAGACGATTCCACGATATTGGTGATGTCTCTCTTCGGATAAGCCTAGAAATACAAATACCGATTATGCTATGTAACTTTCTATCCGAAATAATTCCATATTTCGTTGGAGCTACAACGATCGCATTCGTCATAGTTGCATTGATAAAACTCGAAGCCAATCTGAAAATGTATATGCAAGTTACAAGATATTTAGCAGAAAAATAGGCAGAGAATTAACATGTAGAGCGAATCGCCACGAGGGACGTACAACAAACGTAAAAATGGTCCCATCGAACATTCAAGTACTCTTGTCGTCTCTATGAAACATATACTTGCGCTAAATATTTTCTAGCTTCTGTACACGTGTATCTATATCTTTCTTACAAATTTATTTCAACTTCACCTATACGATCACGACAGCCTGTGATTAATAAATTTTCAAAATGCTTCGTACAACGTACATGATAATTCGCGGCAAACCCTTAAAAATATTCTAAAACTCTCGTAAGTTGTTATATCGTTGAGCAATTTTTGCCCGATTATACCCACAGGATATACGAACAAAGTTTGGCTGTTAAACCTTGCAACTCTCTGTATATCATAAATTAATAAATATGAATAAATTACGGATAATCGTTGGCACGTAACATCCCTGCAGTTTGACCCAGATAATCGTGGTTCACCTACGACCTACTCGTAGCCATTTGAGAATTTTTATTCCGAGCCCTGTTTATATATCTTTTTTCTTTTTTCTTTCAACTTTTCATTGTAATTAGCGTAAGTGCATTTACTACCGCGTTCCGTTTCGATCGACGAAATTATACGACAGGCGAAATTATCGTGCCTTTCACTCGATAACACGGCCGTGCGTCGACGACAGCAGAGAGAGAGGCGGTTGCCTCGCGGATATCGAAACTGCAGTGCGCTCGTTTCCGTAAATTAACAACCGGTAGGCACACAACGAATAAATTCACGCATCCCTTCGTAGATTGGAAATGGATGATAGGATACAAACGTCCGAATCGTTTCAATAAACGAGTCCTACTGAATTTAATTTAACTGTTTGGAAATCAGGGGAAGTTTCTATGACAATTTCAAATTATCTTTAGGTAATTAACTGGAGGCGATATATTTTAAGTTTGTATCAGGTTGTGGCGAAAGTTTCTTTATAAGGAAATAATAGATGCACAATATTTTTTCCTTTATATTATTTTACTGAATTATACGCGACTATAACCATTTAGTTCTATTACGATAAAGATCACAACAATATTGGGTTTCATGTTTGTGTAAAAATTGCATTGTTGCAGAAGACGTGTCTGTAAAAGAAAGACGCTTTTGGGACAACCACTAATATTAATTTAAAGATTGGAAATTCTAATTGCGCGAAATTTGTAATCTAAATTAAGCGAAGATCGTAAATTTCGTTCGATCATAGATTACATATTTTATATACAGGGTGGTTGGTAGCTGGTGGTGCAAGCGGAAAGAGGGTGATTCTACGCGAAAAAAGAAGTCGAAAATGTAGAATAAAAAATTTCTTTTTAATTTTTAAATTTTTCCATCGAGACAACGATCTACAATGAGATCCGTTATAACGAGACGCGATAAAGTGCACGCGTACCGAGCCAAAATTCAAAGTCGATTTTCTCGAAAACAAAGCCTCCAACGAAAAATTTTTATTTTACATTTTCGACTTCTTTTTTCGCGTAGAATCGCCCTCTTTATGCTTGTGCCACCAGTTACCAACCACCCTGTATATATATAATAGAAGAAATTTTATACAGACGATACAAAGTATTAAATATTCGGACAAAACCACGTAACTCGAGTGTGGATTGTACGGAAATATGTAGTTGGATTGCTCGCGAAAGTTTGAAAACATTCTCGCCGAATTATTTAAACAGCTTCGGACATTCGAAGAACGTGCTTGATATACTTTAAACAATAATTCAAATTACGTAATTTCCAACTACTCGAGAAGCAAGGTTAACTTCTGATATATTAAACTATTCTACATATTAATTTTAGCAAACCCACAATCGAGTTCTATCTTCATGGAAAGGGGTCGAAATTGATGACCTATTTACTCCAAAACTACGGAAACAATTCCCTGGCAAATTTGGCCGAGCACTCTGCCAATATCGAACAAATTCAATATATGATCTTCCGTGATCTTCTATGAGAATGATTACGTATGAAGTAAGAAGTTCTTCAGAATTAGACGAATAATTTATAATAGAACGAATGTTGCTCTTGTAATTTAATTATCTTCTACCTATAGTATCAAGTAAATTTAATATATCATCTTTCGTAACCTTTCAGAAAGATGATTACGTAAGAAACAAGAAGTTCTCGAAATATTGACGAGTAATTTATAATAAAACGAGCGTTGTTCATCTAATTTAATTATCTTCTATCTACGGTATTAAGCAAATTTAATACACGATATTCCGTAATCTTATAGAAGAAAAATCATTACATGTAAAGTAAAAAGTTGTTCAAAAGTTTACGAGTAATTTATAAGAAAACGAGCGTTGTTCTTCTAATGTAATTATCTTGCAGAAACTTCAAATATTTCGAACGATCTCATCCACGGTCTTAACGTTAGCTCTAGCTGCTCGAGTCTACTGGAAAGGTTGAAAATCACAAGTATAAATCGAATCATTTATCAGGCTGAATGTAAACGTCGACAGAGACGAACAACGTTCCACGAACTTACCTTCTTGCAATATTCGAGAATCTCTAGCTTATCCGTCATGCAGCTCTTCTTGTCGGCGGATGAGACCCAACGTCCCTGTTCGCCCATGTGCTGCGCCAGGTACACCTCTCCGGCCTCGCATAACGTAGCAACCTGAATGCATAGCGTTCATAAACACTCGTCGTCACCTTTTTCTACTCGTCTGAAAATTCTTTGACGCTACAACCGGCTACTTTCGGCGATAAGTTTCACTCTGGGGTGGACAAGTCCCCTTAGGAATTTACAAAACGCGAAAAATCGTTACAGCGTTAAAGTTATTCCTCTGACCGGTGAGCTGTTCTTCGACGAGTATACTGGCCACGAAGAAACGACAATATTTCGTGTTACGACGAGTATACTCGTCACGCGTAAAAGGTAGCCACAATTTCCTGTGTAAATCGCAGTTCAGTAATCGCAGTAAATTGCAATAATAAAATTTCTTAAAAGTCGTTTCTCCGTCTGACGAGTATACTCGTCACGCGTAAAAGATAGCCACAATTTCCTGCGTAAATCGCAGTTCAGTAATCGCAGCAAATTGCAATAATAAAATTTCTTAAAAGTCGTTTCTCCGTCTGACGAGTATACTCGTCGTCGCTTACTTTTCCCTACGAATTTTAAGTACGCGCTTTTCAAACAACTTCGCAACAGCCGACTGGTCAATTGCCTCGCTTATCGCTATTTTCAAAAGCTAAAATACATCTCGTATCTCGTATTTCTATTCCTTTCTTTACCTCGTTCGTGCAAGCGGACCTTAGGACGATTTTAACTCGAAGGGAATCGCGCGTGGCTAGAAAATCGAATATTTCGTTAGGCAGCGGACTGGATTTCGCGAGTTACGTAACGTTGAAGACTGGCGAAAATGGGATGAATGGAAGGGACGCGTATTGGAATGGAAGAGATTTCAGACATCTCGTGTGTGCGACGGTGGGGATTTCGTCGCGATGCAAAATCGCTGAGTGGTACGCGGCCTTGATGACATTCGTAAGGAAAAGGAAGCGTACATTTTCAAGTGGTACTCACTTGCGGCTCTGATCTTCCTCCAGCGGGTGCCAACTCGAGCCTCTCCGACACCGCCTGCAATGCAGAAAACATGGATAAATTCAACTGGCGTGAAACTGTACCGGTAGCCAAGAATTTATAGCGACCCCGCGGACATTTTCGCGTATTTCATTCATAAAACTTTTTCTATCGACCTCGGACAATTTCAGGATCGCGTTACGCAAGTACAGTCAGGCACAAGACTCTACGTGTACGTCGCTCGAGTGTAAGACCTTGTAACGTAACTTACCTGAATGAAGTTTATGACTAATTATTTTATATTTATTTTATACGAAGTTTATGGCTAATGACTAATTATTCAAATCTTTGAAAGTAATTGAATTCAATTTCTAACTCTTTGGTCGTCGAATTAATAATACAGTGTACGAAGAAAAGGTACAAGATGAAAGGATCAATCTTTGGGGAATTTAGTTTCTGTTGAAAAAGAAAAAGCGAATACGTGTGATAATAATCGTATTCTTTGTTCTGTGAGAACAAATATTTAAATCTTCGAACTGCGCAGTTCTCGATAAAATATCGACGTTTAAACAACTCGGTTAATCTTTAAAGTTTGCTAAAGCTATTGATATAGTCGCCGAGTTTCATCCCCGCTTTAAATCTTTCCGATCTTGCAAGAGCGAGGTTTTATTAAAAGAAAAAAGAAATCAGCCAACTTTCCTCTTCGTACCATTAAAATTTATCGATTCGATTTATGCGTGGCAAATATTATTTTCCTTAATGAGAAGTAAAATTTGCGCGATGCGAGAAACGATTAATTACGTCGATCATCGGAAACCAAATATTTCCTTGATCAAACTCATTAATACGGATTGCTTTTTGGTAATATCATCCCCGCGTAATTCGCAGAACACTTTTCGAAGAACATTCTTCTAAAAACATTTCATGTTCCCGTAAAAACCTCTTAGGAAATTGAATGAATTCTTACAACGAGTAATTTCAATTCAATCTCTTTAGTCCTTCGTTTAACGTTTATCACGCTGCCCTATTTTTCGTCCATCGAAGCCGAAGATCCTCAAATTTGTATCATCAACTACGACGAGTACCTAGAAACATAGGAAAAGCAATTTGTTCCTAGGTGATTTGTCAAACAGAGGATACGAGACTTGTCGATCCAAGATTAGTTCCAATTTTCAAGATTCGTTCTCACGATCCGAGATTAACCCTACAAAGTTAATAGGAAATAAAATAAATACGAATTAGAACAAGTTACAAATTCGATGGTTTCCCAACGATTTATTTTTCGCCCTACATTTATGCTACTCGTTCCGACTTTCTTAAGTTCTAAATATATTCTTATCCAAAAATTCAAATATTTGTGTCAAGCAAATTTTACATTCCACCTCCGCTAACGATTGACCACCATAGCGTGCAACGTACAATCGATACAAGCGAGCCGTCTATCCGTGCGCGGAATTCGATAAACCATCCAGAGTCCAATAACCAAGCAATCTCCTTAAAATGCCCTCATCCCATCGACAAAGAACCACCCTTTCCAAGTACCAATCTTGGAGCAGTCGCTCGTCGAATCTCCTAAAAATACTCCTATACAGTGCAAACAATAAGCGTCTCCAACTCAGCGTGCAATCACGCCACTTCCGGCCTACCTAATCCCTAAACCGTTTAAACGGGCTCTCGAGCAATTCGTCCAGCCTTTCGCCGATATAATGGGCGACCATCGTCGAAAGGCAGAACTTCGCCTCGATCCAAACAAGCGAACAACGAAGGGGAATTAGATCCCGGCCGTAATCGCCTCTGCGGACCTTGTATCGTTGATTTAGTCATCTCACCTCGGTTAATGACGTATTAATGGGCTATTGAGCGAGGATATAAGGGTCCCAGAGTAGCAGCGTAGAATAGTAGCATTGTACCGACGAGCCAGCCACGTGACTGTTAGGAAAAGCCACGAGCTTTAGACTTGGCGCGAATGAGAGTTAAGATTCGCGATTGATTCTCGCTATCGTCGCGTCTCTGCGATTCTTCGGCCGTCGTCGAGATTCATTTTATTTCCTTGCTATCGAGCAACAAGTGCTTACAGAGATTTACAGAGTTTAGGTGTCACGTGCGAGTCCCTGCACGAGCGAACACGAACGATTTAACTGTTTTTGGATTTCATCAGAGCAACTTCTTACACTGCGGTTTAATAAAAAGGTGTGGATCTGAGGCAACGCGTTTGAGGATTTCTGACGATACGAGTAGGTGGAAAAGCGATGGGGACGCGTAAATATCGAGAAAACGCGGATTGGAATAATGCAATTGGTCTGTGTGAACTCTAATACTCACACGGTACTCGTAAAACATTGTGACAGTGTAACGGAATTCAGGATTTACGCTTACGTCGTACAATTATATTACATTGATCGACCAACTACGTTTGACGTGTATACTCATCGTCGCTTGTATTAATTTACGCGCTCCATGACCCAACCCCGTGAGACATATTTAAAACTAGATTCCGCAGTTAACTGGTTAACCGAGGGCGGTGTAAAATAGACTGGCATGGACACAGAGAAGGTAGCGTTGTCTATCAATTACTCGCTATCACGCAACTGTATCGCCGCATGTGTGACACTTGCACCCAATGCTCGATACGCGTGTTCATCTTTACAATGTGCTGAGCCTGTGAAGTCAGAATTAATCGATCGCACCTCCTTCTTTCCATCTCTGCGTATACTATGTGTAATTATATGTATAATTTTGCGTGCTAGACTAGATTAGCCGCGTAGTGGTGACACACGTATGTGAATATGAGTGTATGCAAGTATGTGTGTGCGCAGCGTCTCGAAAACCAGATGAATGCAACTGTTCCGTTGGCAGTGTGCTATGGAAGATGGTGAGACGAAGAGAGTGCTGTGACGCGTGCAAATGTATATCGACGAAGATCCTGGAAATCGTTAATTAAATAAATCTAAAACTATTTTAATACGAATTCTAAGTGTAAGCTTGGTGTTCCTTTACTTTTATTTCGGCAATTAAGATGCACAATTCTCAACATAACGTATTCTACGACAATATGCGCTATATGTACGCGATGTGTACTAATATCTGGCTAATACCGATACAACTCAGCGTTGAGTCTCTCCACTCTGTGCAGCCGCAAGCGACGCTCTGCACTGAGAAGATGCGCTAGAAATACGCGATCTACGCTCAGCCGAGGCAAAACGCGTGCTACTCATCCGCAAACCAACGTACATATTACGTAGTAGGTTCGATAAACTTTTGTCTAAGTCTCCTTTCAGTTATCTTGGCGACAATATAAATTTGCGCAGATATAAAAATATTCTCAACCTCTACCTCTAACTTCGATCGCCTCGCAGCGATACGTTACGCTTCCTCGAGGGTTAAAACCACGTTGTATCACAGCAGCCACTACGTCACCTGTTAACGCACACGCTATACCCTCCTGTTGTATCATAAATCCATTAACTCACGTTCGATCACGCACCTCGCTATATGACACATATGCCTCGAACACGTTCATCACTGCGATCGATGAGAACGTTTTCAATTACGTTGAACAAGCGTACGCACTGCTGGATAGTCGGCAAGTAAATACGTTCGCGTGAACGATTCTACTACCGAACATAGGATCACGTGCCACAAGTCGGCGGCCGAATCGTTAAAAGCCGTCTTTGAACGTCTCTAGACTTATTAGTCAACGGAGTGCCAGGTTTTCCCGACATGCGAGCGGAAACGCGACGTTCTGATCGCGTGAGCGAAGAATATCCATTAGAAATAGGCATCCAACTAGGATAAATGTACGCGAGTGAAATTGTCGGACGAACACGTTCGATACGACTCTCCCGGGGAGAATATCTCGAGTCGAACCCTCAGGACGGTGTTCGTAAACGTTTTGGGGCGGTTGAAGTTCGCAACGAGTATAATTCTCGTTAAATATATATTGACTTTGATCGAGTAATTGTTTGATCTTTTGATTAACTTTGAGGTAACAATCGTGCGCCGGATTTTTATGTACTTATGAGAAATTTAATTAAAGATGCAGAGATACGTAAAATACCGAAAGTACAGTATAGCCTCTATAACATTTCTTTTTTCCAGAATTCATTCCTTGAATTATACTTATAAGCGATTTGACCAAACCTCTTTGCACTGTATGTTATTACTGATGACGTAAGAACGTACAACTTTAGCGTTACTTAATCAACGATCGTGCAAATGTTGTGCATTTCTTACTTTTTACATACAATTTTAGACAGAATTTTTACGAATATTTTTAGTCTGCAATTTAATTAAACGAAACGTTCGATACGTTTGCTTCAGAGAATAAGCGTTAGTATAATTATTCTTACGCTGTTAAATACCTTAACGGACATATATCTCCGAAAACTACATTCTTGGCAGCCAGTTTTACGTGAGTGGCAGCTAAGTTACCTAACAACAGGAATTCGCGGAATCGATCTGACCTTTACATTTTATTGTACTGTACGCGCCGTAGCAAAAAACTGTCGTCGAAATATAGATGTTTTTTATTTATATTTTTTATTTGTATAATTTTATAGTTTTTTATTTATATAATTATAGATGTATTTCGATGTTATTATGTTGTCCCAGGTGTTTCTTCCGTTTTATAATTGAATTGTGTATGATCGTAATAATAGGAATAAAAATTCAATAAAATAATATTAAACGAAAAATGTCGCGCATTCGTTATTTCCTTACAAAACGAGAGAAACTTTTCGAACAAGTTAACACATTTTCACGAATCTCGTTGCTAGAATATATCTACCTCTTCGACCCAGTAGGATCGTGATTTGGGGCAACGATATACGTAGCTAAAAAATAAAATGTCGGAATTATCCATATTGAACGATAAAAGAAATTGTACGCTGTTAGTTTCCTTGTTGTCTAATTTATACGCCGAATTTTCGTCCAATAATTTTCTCGCAGTTTTTACACGGTATACATTTTTCTTATGATTCCTGCCATTCGTGTAGTAATCATAATTTCTATAAATTTAGAAAATAAATATGCCCGTCGTATACCTCTGCCTGTGTACT